ATGTATGTATGTATGTATGTATGTATGTATGTATGTATCTTTTGGATTATGGTACAAAACTCCAGTCCTTTTAAGGTAAGCGATCTTTATCCCCAGGTTCTGACTCAGGAGGCACGCCTCTATTAAATGGCACCATCCTGAATGACCCCTCCTTCATCCCTTCGGACAAGAAAAGCTGGAACTCCCTCCACTTTGCTGACCTAACTTCCACATTCCTCTGCATGCTGGTGAGCCTGTGTGTGTGTGTGTGTGTGTTGGTGTGTGTGGTTTCCAGAGGTATTTTGGCCCGTGTCGCTCGTGAGGCTGCTGGGGCTCGCTTTGCATAGAGGTCCGCCTCAGAGGGCGGAGAGGTTTGGGCCAGAGAAACGGGGTTTCGGAGGGCTTTGCCCGACGTACCGATAGAAACTCGTCGAAGCTGATCTTGTTGTCCTTGTTGCGGTCGAGTTTCTGGAGGATCTCCCGAACCATGTAGCCCGGCAAGGCGTGGCCGGCCTCTTTGAGGAGCTCGCTGAGTTCGTAGTCGCAGATGTGTCCGTCACCGTCCAGATCTGAGCAGAAATTATAAAATAATTTGCTTGAAAATCTGCAAACTCAGCGACACAAACATCTAATTATCATGTATCACGTTTCGTCAAATTTTCCCTCTTATTTTATCTTGATACGGCTTTTACTCACCAATTTTCCCAAAGGTCTCCCTCATCTCCTCCTCCTCCTCTTTTGTTATTTTTCCAGACATTTTTCTGTGCTTGACCCTGGTGTGGTCAGTCCGAGGAAGGAGTGACTGTGGAGAGAGCAGAGTCCAGATAAACCATCACAGAGAGCCTGTCGAACTTCGTCTTAAGTCTCCTCAGATCATCCACGGCTGTGGCCTCCAGCAGCTTCAGGCCCAGATCTGAGTAAACTGTCAAGTTTTAAGAGTGGTACCTTAATGTTTGCAGGCCTTCCGACCAAACCTCGGTCCGACGGATCGCCCAAACCGTTCGCTTTAACCCTCTTCCTGTTCCGAGCACTTTTCTTTCCCCTAATCGGAACTATTTCCTGTTAGCTCCATTGTATGACAACGAGCCCATTCTGTAGCAAAACAGCTGGAGGAACTTCCACCAGAGCAGCCGGATGGGATCTCTACCTCAGCCTAGGCCTTCTAAAAGTCCCCGCTTCCAGCTTTTATCCTTTTCTTTCTCTATCAAAAGCTTCATTCGACAGAGACGATTTGTGGAAGGCCACAGTCAGACCACAGAACTGGTTGCTTTCCTAAACAGCAAAGTTTTCCCGACCTCCTCTGAGACCGAGCGACCGTCTAGAGATGGCTGAAAATAAGGAATTTCGCTCAGTTCGTACTTCCCCCTCGGTAGTGGTGGAGGAATGCGTGCGGCCTGAACGGATCGGGCTTCGCTCCCTCAGAGGTGAGCGGGGCCTTGTGCGCGAGGCCAGACTGGTATGATGGCATTCCTCTCCAGATACAAAGCAAGGTTTTGAGGATTTTCCAAAATGAAAAAGTTTTAAAGCAAAGAGTTCTGATCAGACATTTTTTCATAGACTTTGTTACATGGAAACAGTTAAATTTACAATCAGTCAAATGGATCACAATCAAATTAATGGAGGTGGTAATTTTATGAAGTCAATTTTCTTTGTGAAAACGGACAAAGTCCTGCCGCTGTGCATCCCTCTATAATGAATTAAACTAATAATAGCCGTTACGATGATTCACCGGCAGCCGTGAGCTGCCAGAGGTGTGACTCAGTTCCTATAAAAGCTGTTCATCCAGACAAAACAAAGGAGCGGATAAAAAAAAACACCCTCCTTCTGAATAATCAGAAAGCGGGCGTTTCACCAAACTCCAAACGGCAACGACACAACTTTAATCATCCAAAACCAAACAAGAGCTCACTTTAAAAGCTGCGTTGTGAACCAGAGCTGCCTGTTTTTTTTCCTTCTAAAAAGGAGCGAAATCAGGGCAGGCCGAACCCCCGACCGACCGATTAGGAAAATGACGATTCCAGCGAGGCTAAATTTAACTTTTGTCCCGGAGGAGGCGAGATGTGGCGGCTGAAGTCGGGCCCGACAAACATTACCTCACTGCCAGTGGTCACGCCCTCCCAAAGGCCGGGTGGAAACAGACGAGGGGTTAAGTACACGGAGCGAGGGCACAGATGGAGACGGGCAAATGTGAGCTGGCACAGAAGAATAGGGGGTTTGTAAAGCCCCACGGACAGTTGCTCTCTTTGACAGCTGGACGCTGCTTTTGGAAAACAGCAGCGGCCTCATAAACGGCCTAAAGCGTGTCTGTCGGATTTGGGGGGCACATGAGAAGCCCCCCCCAGATGATAGGGGCCTTCCTAAAATGGATTCACACACACACACACACACTGTAGAGAGGATTCCTATAAGACAAGATTTGGGTTTTTCTTTCATAAACTGCAGAAAAAACAACAACATGTCTGCTTGTTTTCAGCCGTTTGGGTCACGTTACGCTAACTTAAATTCTTCCGTCTCCTGGAGATGTTCCAGAAACTCACCCCCCCCCCTCCATGCCTTTCAGGCCCGGTCGGGTTAAAAAAACAGCCCATGGGTGCCGTTTACAATCGCCTTTGATGGACTTTGATGGAGCCAATTAAAAAGTAAGGGCTACTCCCAGATGGCGGAGCACCCGACTCACCCCGCCCCCCGAACGGAGTTCGTGGGGAAATGGGAAATGTGAGGCCCGCGAAAATAGAGCGGGCGCCCGTCCCAAAAGTGTGGTGGGGCTCGTGTGCACACGCCCAACGCGCCGGGCTGCAGATGTTCTGCAGACCTGAGTCACCGACAGGGCTCCCGCTTCCTCTCCGGGCTGGAAAAGATAAGCACGGGCCCACTGACAGGTGAGGGGGGGGGGGGGGGGAGGGGGTTACGCAACACAACATGACGCTCACACCTGGGTTTTGCTGGTCTGAAGCATTTGGTCTATTGTCGTTTTTAAATGGAACAGTCCATTGAGATTGTCTCAATCTCAACAGCCTTCGCTTTGAAAGGCATTCGGTTGTAAATAACTAAGAGGGAAAAGAGAAAAGGTGTGTACACAACAGAGAGGCATCCAAACGGCCGCTTAGGAATGTGATTGGACGGGTCGCGGAGGTGTTGCTGAATCAGGCGGCCCGTTTCCGCCACAGGTGAGCGGCCACACCTGCGGCCGTTTGCCGTGACTCAACAAAAGCTTCGTCAAACACGTCCTTCAGCCCCGCGTGACTCCAGAGACACAGAGAGAGAGAGGCCTTCAGCGTTTTCTGTCCAGGACAGCTGGGATCAGACCCCGGAAAGTGTTAACCCTAAAACTGCCAAACTGTTTTGAATTTACAGGATCTGACGCCCACTCAGACACGACTCAGCAAAGTTTTCAGGTTATAAAAACTGTCCTTGTGACGTCACTATGTGGAGGATTGTTAGGCCCAAAACAAGAGTGGATCAGAAATGTCAATTCACAATGAATAATACAGATTTTAAAGGTTTAGGTTTAGAAACAAAACAGTCACAGACAGCTGTAGGTTGATCACCGAGTTGCGTAACAGGTGAGGGCACCTGTTTAAAGTCCTGCTGGTGCAGGAAGAGGGGGAACCTGTTCAGGTGCGAGCCGGGGTGGAAACTAACCGCTCTCTTTCCTGACTGTCTGGTTTGACTTAGAGTGATAACATCAAACACGCCACCGGCAATAGCTGCTCTGCTCCTCTCACATCTCCCTTCAGCCGAAATACACAAACTCTCACACCTGGACACTGAGCCAATGACGAGGCAGCTCTATAGCTTTAGCTCTTACATGGTTAAAAAAGGGGAGAAAAAGAAAAACACAGATATCTGCTGTTGTCTTGGAGAGTTAAATGTCTACATAATCTGCTTAAGAGTCCTTATAAAAAAAGAAAAACCTAAAGCAGGACGGCCTGGAATCAGCTCCTGCCTGTTTTCATAACACACTTCTTGTTCCAGATCATAATATTTTCCCAGTTATGATGCGGGTTTCTCTTGTTTTTTCAAACCCGGTTCGAACACTAGTCCACAATTGGGATCCCAGATGTCAGAGAGCTGCAGCCCCAGATGGAGTCCAGGAAAAATCTGGCAAAGAGCTCAGCGCCGTAAACAAGAGGACCATTTCTTGTTATACGGGGTTGTCTAAATCATCCCCAACAAGATCGTATTAATCCAGGAGGAGAGGCGACTTCCTCACAGTTTGGGAAATCCAGCTTTGAAAAGAAGTGTGCCACAGAAGGAGGGGTGGGAGGGGGGGGATTTATCCAACTTAATGTTACACATCTACTAGCTACAAAACAGGGGTCAACGTGTAAAACAACCTGTTCTATCAGAGGGGGAAACATACTAATGATTTATTACAAATAGCATCTGCTCAAGCACCAGGAAAGATCTTTAAAAAATACAAACAAGCAAAAAAAATAAAAAAAATAAAAAATACAGGCTCCACCTATACGACTTCAGTCCAACATACTTAGGTATTTCCCCCAAATATGAACCCATTTTTTTGGAAAAGCGAACCAAAAAACAAAACAAAGTCTTTGTCATTCTTTTCCAGACACAAAGCTGAACAACAATAGAAGCCCTAAAGCTCACTTTAAAGTCAATTCCTTTGTTTTGTGTTGGGGTTTTATCCCTAAAACTCGCAGCTAAACAACTCAGACTGAGCGGACTCGTAACCATTTCAGCGCTTATGAGCAGACAGTGAGGAGATGGAGGCTAAAGCTAGCCGGCTAGCGACAGACACGCAAGTTTTACTGGCAGGAAACTGCCCGTGTGCTCCGGGAAAAGAGGATGAAGGCTGCCTCCCTCCGAGAGAAAGGAGTCAGCCACTTTAACCCGTTTCGATAATTTATTTTTTTTAAAGTGGACATTTAAGACGGGCTGTCGGGGAGTAGTCGGTCAAGAAGTTGCCAGGAAATTTGGTACTTACTGTCGGTGCGCCTAAAAATCCAGACAGCGTCCACTTTTGAGTCCAGCCTCCTCCACGTAGGGACAAAAGTAGACATCAGGAATGTTGGCCACGCCCATGCGGTGACGTCACGGCTAGGCGTGGCCAATGGGAGGTCGATGATGCCTCATAATATAAAAAAATAATAAGTAAATGAGAGAATGAGAATGTTTTTAAACTACGGAGCCCGTCTGGTGACATAAGAAGGAAAAAATATATAACTCGTACACACGAAATTAATATTAAGTAGTGGGCACGAGTTAAATATTTTTCCTTTTGTGTCACCAGAATATATTATCAATTATTATTATCAATAGATAATAGCATGAGGGTTTCTATCAACAGATAATATATAGTTATCAAATAGGAAATTTTGATAACTTCGTTGAAAATTATTATGATATTTAAGAGTACTTTAAGAATAAATTTCAGCCACTTTTTGTTTATATGTAAAAAGAGAAAGAATGTCTTTCATACTTTAACTAAAAAAAAATCATTCTTGTGCTGGTTTGATTTAACATTTATTTCTAAACCATATATAAAATCAGTACAATTTCAATCTGTTCCCCCCCAAAATGGGACTTCATTCCTTGGGCAAAAAAGGACATAAACAGGACATAAACAATCTGATGTTTTCACCAATATGTGCCCTAAATCATGCAGAAGATTGTATAGTTATAGGCATATATCAGCTTCTTTACATGGCAGACTCCTCCTTTTTTTTGCTTTACATCAAAAATAAAATAAAAATGGGTCTTGATGTTCTCTTCTGTCCCCTCCATAATTTGCGTAAAATCTATTGGGATATGTGAGCTGCTGGCTCTAACTAGGCTCTACAGATATGAAGCAAACATGAACATAATTTAATCACATTTGCAAGTAAAAGTCCTTTCAGGGTCTGGATTTTAAATAATAGATATCCATAGACCATTAAAGACATTTGCTTGGGGAGTAGCTCACAAGTTCAGTGTTTCCTGTTTGTAAAAGGCCTGATGTGAGCAATACATTTGCAAAAAATAATGTGGGGCTGACATAACAGAAACTACTTTCAATTAATAATAAAATCAATTGAGAAGTGTGCCTTGCTCTACAAGGATCCAATAACATGTTTTTGTGTGTTAGATACAGGCCACGCCCATGTAAATACCAAAATGGGTAAAGCACTATAGGAGGTTTGTAAGAGATACTTTCAAATAAATATATATGTGTGCGTTTTAGTGCGGTTTGTGTGGGTTTATCAAAGTAGATTCGCCCTCCAGAACAGCAGGTGGCGCTAAATCACGTTAGCAAGCAAAATTTCCAGCGCGTAAAACAATTAACCAGAGCAAGAGTTGTATTCACTTGTTGTCAGTTTTTTTCTCTGTTGCTACGTTTCTTTGCTATTCAGCGCCATGTTTAGATAATATTATTTAATAATAATGAGAGCTTAAAACGTAAATAATTCGGTTACCTGTCTGCCTTGCAAGATGTCTTCAATAAGGTAAGATTTTGGACTTGAAATGCGTTTTTCCGCCGTTATTTCCAGCGCTGAGCTAGCATAGCGTAGCATAGCGAATTGCTAGCTGAATCAGCTAAGAGCTAAGCTAACAGAGGTTTTCTCGTAAGAAATCATAACATTATAGTGTCAGCATTGTTTATACTCTTGGAAAAAAGCATGGGGGAAATGGATTATGGCATCTAAGGAGCATTGGCTGCTTTATTCAGTATACATATACATATATTGGGCTGAATAAAGCATAATATTGAATCATTTATCACATAAAAACATTCACTTATCTGTCAGTCTATCATGTACAGCCAGTTTTATTAAACAATTCCCATCATCCCATTGTCATTTTGATCTAAGTTGTTTGTTGTTTTCAAAATGTACATCCCCAATTACGTTGGTCAATTAGATGATGACTACAACATCCCCATGACTCAACCCAGACTTAACTTAACACCAGGATTCCCTCAATGATCTTTGGGATTTACATGCATGTTTTTTTGCATTTAAAGCAAGAGAGTGCAGATAGATTTGATAAAGTAGAACTACTCCATCTTTTTAGCTTATCTGGTTGATTTACGATTCAAATGACGTACATCCCAGTTCACCACTCCCAGCACAGTAATGAAAAAGTCCTCTTAAAAGTTGTTTAATGCAAATTGTTCTGGTAAGTGCAAACAGGGTAACCACCTCGATTTAAATAAACAAATCATCTAGCATTTTTTCATTCGCTCTGATGACAGTTGAGGGATTCATTAAGTTGAAATAGTGAATGTGAGGTTCAGGAATCAGAATTCTTTTAATTGTCACTGTAAAAAAAAGCGCAGCAAATAAAATAAAAAAATGAAAAAAGAGAAGCAAGACCATCTTTTTGTAGATAGTGTTTTATTAACATGAAGCTCTAAAGAACCACTTATTTTTTTCCTGCCACACACTAGGTGTTTGTGACAGAAAAAGAAATATAATAATGACAGATGAATGTAACTCTAGATGCAAATGAATTATGTAATTGTAATGGAAACAAAGGCACAATTAATCTTTGCAATGCTCCAATGAAGTGCTCTAGTGAAGTATTAGTGTGTCTGTTAGTTATTTATTTGGCCTGACATTGTAGATGTTAAATATTAATTTTCTTTGCTCTTCAGAGAACATTACTTACATACTAAAGGTTCGGGGTTCTGTGCACTCACAAATCTGCATGTTCTATATTCATTATGTTTTTATGAATCTGAAAAAATAACCTTGATGCCAGATATGGAACCAGATAGAGCTTTGAAAAAGTTCAGCTATTAGTTTTTGAATGACTTGATGACATAGTTGATAGTTTCTTTCCTGAAATTTCCCAAATTTACTCGAGCAAAGTTTCATACTTTACTAATACAGTTGTGTTAAACTAAATTCATAACCTTTTAACCAATAAGCATCATTGTTTTCTCTTGACTGCAGCACCTCAAGCAAGCTAAATGTTTTGGTCAACAAGCTTCATGAGTATTTGGCGCATTCCAACGTTGAAGACAGCAACGGTGCACCGACATCTGAGCAAACCGATGGTACATCCATTACATTTATCCGTACCATTGGAAAACTTTATAACATCTGTAGTTATTAAATGTAAGGAGATACATTTATCACCTCTTCACAGGCCAGACAAACAGGACCTGCTCTGTGGGAAGGTCAGCAGGCCATACCCTGACAGAGGTAAATAAATGGATGCTACTTTTTCTAAACTTGTTGTTTTAGTTGTTAACTGTTTCATGATGGGATAACTGTGTGGGATAGTGTACAAAAGGATGAACATATATCAGGACTCACCCATGCAAACAGAGTACACATGACACTGGTAGAGAAATACTAAACAGGCAGATTGTACTCTTCTTTTACATTGTTACATTGTTCTATGGAAAATGTTTCTTTATCTGGGGTGGTGGAGGTCCTTATCATTCAGTTATTTTAATTATTTTTCACAGGATTTATAAAACTCTGTTTTCCACCCTGGTGCATTACTAATGCTGTCTTCCCCTCAAAATGTGGAACCATTTGTAAATGTGGTAAACATAAATTGGCCTTCAGAAATAAACAAATATACCGTCTTGTTTTACAGGCAGGTTTGGACACGAGAGGTTCAAGGAGGTGAGTTCACAGTTTATGCCAATTAATCAAAGATACCACTAGATTTATCTCCAGATTTAACACTAAGTTTCTGTTCTAGCCCATAGGTCTTTGTCATTTTGTTATCTCTCTTTATTGTTCAGGCATATGTTCATACTGAACTTTTTTTCCCCCTTTTTCAAATGTCGCAGAAAACCTTCAGTTGTCATGAAGCACTCCGGACTGGATGAATCTGGAGAGTCTAATGCAAGTGAAGACCTGGATTTACATGTAAATGCAAATGGTCATCTTGACGTCACCAGCTTGCCTAAAGGTCGGTATAAAAAAGCTGTTCATTTCTTTCCCCTGTACCCTAAAAGGTACAAGGTTTACCGTTTCTCTTCATTCTAGGAAAAAGATGGCAAATATGATAATATTTGACTGGTGTCTGTTTTTTAAAACCATAAGATTTGGTTTAATGTTTTGAATTGTCTTTGAACTTTTAGTTCTGAAATAGCTTTATGTGTTTCTTTTGGACTTGATGCATAAAAGTGTTGGTAGTAGACACCGTTAAGTCATAATGGATCTGCTCTGCCCTTCACTTAGGCTTATAATTTCTCATTGAATGGGAATATTAAAGATAAACTGCGTTACATTGAATGTTTTTTGTTCCCACAGGCACAGTGCTGGTCAGACCTGAAGCAGCTGACAATGGCAGAGACGACTTCAGGGGTCCAGAGTTTCGCACCAGGAAACCAAACGTGCTCCGGAAAGAATTTTCAAAGCGGCGTGGAGGTGATTTACAGCCGTGAAAATCTTAACCGATTCCTGACCGTGCGTCGGTTTCCTTGTTGTCCGTAATGACTGATTTGTGTTTCCCAGGACACGAACACGTGGGAATCGTGTGCTGCACTTCATGTGGCCGACAGGTCAACCACTTCCGCAAAGATTCCCTTTATCGGCACCCGGTCCTGAAAGTGCTTATCTGCAAGGTGAGTTCGAGTGTTGGTATGAAAACCAATAAATCCGGAGTTTAGAAAAGCTTGTGCCGTTTGATATGTTACTAATCGTTGGTTTTTTAACATCGATTCGCTTCTTTCCTGTTGTGGCTTCGTGTCTGTTAGAATACAAACATGTCATTATAGCACGGAAAACCAAGAAGACAGTTTTTTTATTTAAGAACAAGCTCAGAAAAAGATAACCAGATATCAAGATAAGTCTGTGCTTCTTTCCATTAACTGATAATGCAGGATTTTCATATATTTCAGATGTAAGAAGCTTATTTGGCCTCACAAATAGTTTTGAAAAAGTACTGGTGATTTTTAAAGTAGACAAAACTGTTCAGCTGCTGTCAGGTTAGTGAAAAGTATGTTAAATAACCAAGGTTGACCATTATGTGTCACCAAAAACATGCAGAACATAAGCAAAGATTCCTACTGGCAACATGCTGATAACATCACATAGCTCAATTTTAGAGGAAGGCTAAGAAAAAGAGTTGACAAAGATTTGAATTGTTCAGCTCCCGGAGCAGAGCGATGGGTAAGCTGTTCCACAATTTGATTAGATTTAAAAGTAAACAACAGTTTTAAAGCTGTATATGTCAGATGGGTGAATCGGCCCAAACGTGGTTTTCTTTTGTAGGACCACCGAAGCAGATCTGGTAAAGAATCAGTGCCAGAAACGTTTTATTGTTTTCATTTTCACTGAACTGGGTCCTGAAATGGGGATTTTTCTTTATGACTGGGGGTTTTAAAAACACACAGTTCACTTCAGACGTGGTTAAAGAGTTCTGCAGCAAATTAAACCAGAGACAATAAGGATTTTGTACATTAAAGCATGCAAATGTATTGAAAACCTTCAAGGAACAATAACAAAGATACAGCACGATGATGTAATCTGTAGTTGTGAGGCAGAGTATAGAGGAAGATGGAAGTAACTCCTAGAGATTTGAGGAGAAACAAACTTGTATTTTTATGGACCACTTCAATTAAAATGTTCCTGAACTGTTTGTGTCTGTTAGGCCTGCTACAAATATTACTCGAGTGATGACATCAGCAAAGACGGAGACGGAATGGACGAGCAGTGCAGGTCGGATTTCCTCACTAAATTATTTTTTAACCGATCAAAATGCTCAAACGCTATCACGAAAAACTAAATCTCCCTCCCACAGATGGTGCGCGGAGGGAGGGAACCTCATCTGTTGCGACTTCTGCAGCAACGCCTTCTGCAAGAAGTGCATCCTGCGAAACCTGGGCAGGAAGGAGCTGTCCGGCATCCTGGAGAGCAAGTGGTACTGCTACGTGTGCAGCCCCGAGCCGCTCTTCGACCTGGTGGTGGCGTGCGACGGCGTCCTGGAGAACATCGAGCGGCTGTGGCACCACCAGCAGCGGAGGAGGAACCGGGCGGAGCCGGGGAAGGCGGAGCTCTACCGCATGCTGCCGCACTCCCCGCAGAACATCCCCCTGGACAAGTGGGACCACACCGGCATGGACGGGAACGTGGTCTTCAACTACAACACCCTGCAGGTCTCCAAGGACGTCACCAAAAAGGCCAAACACCTGGTGGACTCCACCAACGCTCTCAATCAAACGTTCCTCAGCTTCATCGACGGCGTGACGGCGAACAAGCGGGCGGAGAGCGTCCGGGCCCTCTATTTGAACTCTTTCATGGCCGTGGTCAAAGGCTTGAGGAAGTCCCTCTCGGCTCTGGAGGACAGCCTGAAGGAGGAGTTCAGTGACTTGGACCTGTCGGGGAATTGGGAGAAAATCCTGAACAGCGACTTCGACGCTCTTTTGACGGAGTCGGACGTGGATCTGCAGCTCTCCGACGCCCGGAGCATGAGCCGCCTGCAGAAGCTGGCGGGCGAGCACTTCGAAGACAACGACTCCGACTCGAAGGGCTACGCCGAGGGCAGGGGTCCGCGCAGCAGCCGCCTGCTGGGGAAGGAAGCGGACCCGGGCGCCCTGGAGGCCGGGCCGGGGGCGGGAACGGCGGGCCAGAAGCCCTCGGAGAGCCAGGTGGACATGACCAAGAAGCTGGTGGTCAAACTCACGCCCGTCGCCATGGAGACGGAGCCCTCGCCCGAGGACCCGAAGGCGGAGGAGGACGCCCAGAAGAAGGAGAAGAAGTCGAAGGGAAAGCAGGGAGCCAGAGAGGAGGAGCCTCAGGGGGACGGCGAGGGCGTTGCCATGGCGCTCCTTTCGCCGGACGAGGAACAGGGAAACCGGCGCTCCCCCCGGGTTAAGACCACGCCCCTGCGGCGGCCCAGCGACGTCATCGCCAAAACGGCGCTCTCTGCGGGGGACAGCGACAGCGACTCGGACCCCGAGGAGGAGACGCCCCGCGGCGAGGAGGCCGCCAACCCCGAGGAGCGAAGCCCCGGCGGGGCCAGGGACGACTCGGACTCAGACGAGGTCCCCGCCGCCCTGCTGGAGCGGGCCGCCCTCACCCAGAGCTCCGACGAGGAGGAAGAGGAGGAAGAGGAGGAGGAGGAGGAGGGAGGAGAGGCCTCGTCGCCCAGCAAGGTGGCCAAGAAATGCCTCTTCTGGCTCACCAAGACCAGCCCCATGTCCCCGGAGAAGATGCGGAGGAAGCGCAAGATGCTGGACCGCTCCTCCGAGTCGGAGTCCAGCGCCCGAGGAGCCGCGGCGCGGCCGGGAAGCGGGACGGATTCCTCCAGTGACGACCAGGAGGCCAAACAGACCATCCAGCACCTGAGCACGGTCAGGTCCATAGCCAAGCCCCACATGGTGAAACGAGAGGAGGAGGGAGTGGCCAGGAAGCAGAGGAGGATGCAGGCCGGGAAGGCTAAGACGAAATCCCCCCAGGAGGCCTCGGAGTCGTCTTCCTCGTCCAGCGAGGATGAGGGAGACGACGAGTCCGGGAGCGACGGGAGCGATCAGAAGATGAAGCCAATCACGGACAACGTGGCGTCACTGGGAGTGGCCGCTTTCCACCAATCATCAGGTGAGTGGGTCCAGACCTCCTCGGTGGCTCTCACCAGGAAATTTATTTATTTTTCTTATTTTATTTTTTATTTTTCTCTCTTTTCTTACCAGGAAATTAAAATGAAATCAACTTTATTAGTGTCACAGAGCCTTATACTTATTCTCTGCCAATTACATGTTTATGTTTATGTTTATGCATTTGGCAGACGCTTTTATCCAAAGCGACTTACAGAGTAGACACAATATTACATTTCTCATCACAATGACAATAAACTTTATAGAACAGAAACACTGATCAGAGTCAGTGGTGAGATAGAGATAGAGGTAGAGGGGCTACAGAAGGAGCTGTGGGGGGGGTAGAGGTACGGGTTAGGGTTAGGATAGGAGATGCTCTTTGAAGAGGTGGGTCTTCAAGAGTTTCTTGAAAACAGACAGGGACGCTGCTGTTCTTGTGGCGCTTGGTAGGTCGTTCCACCATCTTGGAACGACACATGCAAACACTGTTTAGAGCAGTGTTTTATTATTCATGCAAAAAAAAAGGTATTTAATCATTGGTGTTTCTACAGGCGATGATGAGCAGTCTGGGCCCTCGTGGGCAGCAGAAGAAGATGACGATCCAGAAAATAGGTACGCTCAAAAAAACCTGGATGTAAAGTTTTTGCCGCCTAAGTGTAGAAGAAAGAAAGCCCCGTCGAAACGCGCCCTCTGTGTCAATTCTGGCAGCCGGCACGTCATTACGACCACGCTGCGGGCTTCTCAGAGGAGGCCCAAGCGTAGCTGCAGAGCCCCAAATATCCAATACAAAACGTAGACGTTTGCCGCGAGTCGCTAAGATTCAATCGGAACAAAAAACTACACAGACGGCGTCTTTGTGAACGACAGAGGGGATTCGTTTAAAGGTCCGGTCCGTGGCATTTCAATTATCTGCCATAAAGCAGAAGCTTAAACTTTCAATGAAGCATAGTCTGCCTTAGAGTTGTATCTCTTTAAGGAGAGCTGTTTTGATTTCCGTGGAAGTACTTATGTAAGAAGTATTTCGTTCTGTGTTTTTACAGAGTGCACAACAAACCTTTGTCCACCCTTAAGCTAAACGTCCATAAATGGGGAAATTGTTACTTACAGGTGAAGTATGAAGTTTGAAACCTGCCTTGAAACCTCACATTTACATTAAGAAAAAATGCAATTTTTAAAAATATTTAATAAATGAAAATCAGCTGAAGGTTTGCAAAGTCGTGGGCATGTGGAAATCTTTTATACTTCACCTTTTGGAAACCTCTGTGTGTAAAAGTTGTGGAGTGACAGTTGAATTTTGCCTAAATGTTGATAAAAGTTGGCAAAGGACTGGATTTTGAAGAAAACGTCAGTTACAATGTCTGTAAATGCACTTTAAATTACATTCAAAGCTCACACTTTAGATTTGATTATATATTTTATGTTTTAGGCACAAACGTTGTTGTTTTTGTTTTTTTGCAGCTTTTAACGTGTATTTTTCTGTGTCGGTTGCACATGACAGTGGAGGCAATTTGGCTTTGAGGAAGACGGTAGTGAGGGTCAATCAGCATGTTACGGGTGCCTTTGTCAGTCCCAAAGCACAAAAAATTAATCACCCACAACTGGGAAATTTGTCCTCTTCCTTTTGAGTTTAATGTTCAGGGTGGCCAGCACCCTGAGCGGCCATTTTTAATTGGGTCCGGGTTCTCCGGACTTGAGATTGAAGCAGTGCTTTCCATCTCCATTGAAGTTTTTATTCACACTTGGCCTTCCATGATGAAAAATAAATTGCGTATTGATGTGACACCACTAGAGCCTGGCATGTAGTTTCTTCTTTCAAAGCTAGTTGGCTTGCAAGCTTCTAATGAAGTCCTTAAACGAGCAAAAAAAAAAAAATATTATCGTAAAAAAAAACAAAAAAAAAACAAGAGCCTCAATCACAAATAAAGCTCTTTTTTTTTTTTTAGAGCAGCTCTACACACACTGGATGTCTTAGATGCTCGTTTGTTTTCATTTATTTCCGTAAAAGCATGTGAGAGAAGCTGAATGTTACGCAATGATTTTATTGTTGATTTTCATTGGCTGAGACGTGCCTCGTGTAACAGAACAGGAACGTCGGCTGCTCCAAAAGTATTCTTTCTTTTGGAAGTACTGTTCTAACTATAATTAGGGGTCACTTTTTCGTCATATCTGTGATTTGCATGAAGCTCTGGCCTTAGGTCTTACTCTTTTATATTTGAGATGGAGATGGAAGGGATGAAAGTGGTCCCTACCCTATGCAACGTTAGTGGCCAGAGGGCCACAGGGGGGTATATATATATATATATATATATACAGTGGGGGAAATAAGTATTTGACCCCTTGCTGATTTTGCAGGTTTGCCCACTTACAAAGAATGCTTATTTTTCCTCATCAGATGGTTATCAATTTTTATAAATTCATATGATGTGATTTTCTGGAATTTTCTTTGGGATTCTGTCTTTCACTGTTAGAATGTACATATGATTAAAGTTATAGATCGTTGCATTCTTTGTAAGTGGGCAAACCTGCAAAATCAGCAAGGGGTCAAATACTTATTTCCCCACTGTATATATATATATATATATACACACACACATACATACATATATATAAACGCAGACGTGCAGCTCGAATCGGGCACAGACAGCGTGAGGGGAGAAGCAGCCTCTAAACGTTCGGAGCTTTTCTTTGGATCGGCGCACCACAGAAAGACCGGTCGGTCTTTGTTTTATCCCCCCCCCCGGCCAGAGGAAGCCCCTCGTTTTAACAGCTTCACTCTGTGAGAGCAGCCATCCTTACTCTTATAAATTCTGACTATGCGAGCAGACGTTTGCTCTCCTTCCATTTACATCCAAATGTCCAGCGGATCCTAAATGATATCTATTCTCTGACTTCTGTCCAGTGGATCCATGATTGTGTTTTTCATGTTTTGCCCCACTTTCTCTACACAGACTATACATTACTGCTGACCATTAAAACCCGTAATGACATGTTTTTTAAACCACCTTCCAACTTGTGGATTTAGACCCAGATTCGTGGCTAAAGCAGCTTCTGAGGTAAAACAGTAATGCTGATAAAAGCAACCTTGTATATCTGGGAATTGAGAGTGGGCTGTGAAACAACAACTGTTAAAAATGCAAGCCAGCAATTTTTTTCTCCATAATGCTTTAACCACTCCCATGTTTGTGTCTCATGTTTTTTCCAGGTCGGATTTTCTGACAGCACAACAGTGAGAGCAGTGCTAATAGGCACTTGCTTAATCTGGGATATTTTAGCCTCCTCTCTGCACTTTTAGGGCCCCCCCCCCCTCCACCCGTAGTCCATTCGTAGTGGCAGTGCAGCCTCGTGTTGAGTTAAATGGTCAGCAGAAATGTAAAGTTCTCAAAGTTTGTGGTCAAAGGACCGACTTTTTGATTTTCCCGGCTCGGGAATAACGCCGACCTCAATGTTCGAACAAGTCAAAGCAAGCCTCACCTTTCACAGTAGAGCGGATTTAGGCGTAAACGCCACTGAAAATGCCTTTGGCCGTTATTGAGGACGACTTTTAAGATCTGGATCAGACCCGTGCCTGAGAAAACGTGCTTGCAGGATGTGGTTTATGAAGCTGATATCGCACTACACTGTTTGACTCTGGCTCAGCATGGGGGCTCACAGGGGCGCGCGTGTCCATTTCTACAAACTGTACATATATTTTAAGTCACCGCTACGCCGTGTAGTATTACCACCATGAGCTTTTTACGTTTTTGGGAACCAGTCCTATTTATTGTGAGTTCGTCACATTTATTTTTTTAATTTTCCCAAACAGTTTTAAGGTAATATTTCATTCTGAGTAAATATTTATATAAAGACATTCATATTTTTCTGTTTTTCTATAGCTTTTTTTGTTTGTTTGTGCCAAGTCTTTTTTCAGTTACGTCAAATGAGTTGATTTCCGGTCAACCCGGAGTACTGTAGGTGTTAATATTCTGAAAGCCATTGGGTGGTTATGAAATCATCTTAAATGGAATTTTTACATTGAAAAAAAGAAGAGGAGAACATGTCCATTTTTTTTTTCCTCCTGTGGTTAAAACTTGTAATAAATTCTTAATTTCAAAAGAAGTCTCTGTCTCTCTCTTCTTTTCCTGGCCTTTTCACTTTGAATGCTGTTGCAGTTCTTAGCTGGTCTACGACTGTGAGGAGGTTTGGATGTTTCCACACGCTGTCTGGATTGATTAGAAGTGGCAAAAAACTATAAATATGCAATCATTCCCAGTCTCTATCTTTATTATCAACATAACAGAATAGCCTACTAGCACCGGGCCAAAGTCTCATAGTTTCTGTTAAGAAAAAGAAAAAAAAAAGCTCTTTAGATATTGTTACTGAACATAAAATGAACTTCAGGTGCCTTTTCCTTTTTTTTCTACTTTTGAAAGAATCGCTAAGAAAATGCTATTGGCCCAAATTAAAGCCGACTACTCCTCGGCTGATGATATTTCTTCGGACGAGGAAACGCAGGAGGATGACTCCGAGTCAGAAGGTGACAAGGAGGCCGAAAAAGCCAACGGGGATGAAGCAGCAAATCAAAATGGTGAGTCTCTTATTTCTCTTGTGCAGTTCACGATCAGTAGGGGGAAATACAAATCCAAGTTTGAGTGAAATGATGAATAGCTGAAGTTGATGTGTGCTTTTAGAGAAAAAAAAAACTCCATGTTTGGCTTTGGGGCTAATGTGTCGGTTTGGATTTTGGGAAGGGATGAAGTGATGAAAGGGCATGTCTCTTGCTGCAGGGGAGGATCCGGCCTCGGAGTCGCCCGACAAAAAGCCCGAGGATCCGGCGTCCAGGCACCATCTCCTCCGCCGAAAACTCACCTTAGAGGAGGCGCCGGCCTGTGAGGGCGAGGGAGGAAAGCAGGAGGCCAAAGGGAGAGCCAAGAGGAAACGGCAGCTCTGTAAGCGCCTTCGTGATGTCAATTCAATTCAATTAAATTTTATTTATACAGCGCCACATCACAACAACAGTTTATGTTCATGTTGTTTATGTTGTTTATGCATTTGGCAGACGCTTTTATCCAAAGCGACTTACAGAGTAGACGCAATATTCCATTTCTCATCACAATGACAATAAGCTATATAGAGGAGAGACACTGATCAGAGTCAGTGGTGAGATAGAGATAGAGGTAGAGGGACTACAGAAGGAACGGTGGGGGGGGTAGAGGTACGGGTTAGGGTTAGGATAGGAGCTGTGGGGGGTAGAGGTACGGGTTAGGATAGGAGATGCTCTTTGAAGAGGGGGGTCTTCAAGAGTTTCTTGAAGACCCACCTCTTCGCTCTGACGCCTGGTTTTTGTTTCCCCGTTCAGCCGAAAGCGAAGGCTCCACCAAACAGGACGACTCGGCCATGAGTGACCAGCTCAGCCAGTCGGAGGAAGATGAGGAACCTCAGAGGTAAATGTAACTCATCTGTCAAAAAGCGTTGCAAATTAAATCAGAATTAGAGCTTGGTAGTCTGCTAAATGGACAGAAAGAATGGATGGAAACTTGGTCTCAGGCTTTCAATCCATCAATCTTTTAAAGACCCAAATCCACCCGTTCAAATGCTGCTGGAGGTCTTCAGGGGTCGGAGCCAACGTAAGCAAGCTTCGCCGTAAAGATAATATCAGACCCCCGTCCTGCCAGGAACTCTGTCACAGAAGCCAAGACAAACCAGACGTGATTTGAGGACAAATTTAGTTTAGCTCAACTCCACTTTTATGTGCAAAACACATTTCCTGCATCGATGTGTCAGAGTGCTTTTAACACAGAAAACAGAAAAACCTCTTGATGAATTCACAAATAGCTAAATGATATACGAATGATATGACATGAATACAGATATAAAAGATACAAAAAATAAAACCATAATAAAACAAATGTAAATCCTTGTTAAAATCAATAGAAAAAGGTAAAAATATACAAAGGCGATAGGCAAATTAGAAGAAAAGTTGCATAAGAATAGAGCTATTTTTCATTTTTGCAGACAAGTTTTGAAAGATGAGACAAAGTCAGTGTTCCTCTTCCAAAGTGGGGTAGCATTAAAGCTTAGGAACCACAGGCATGTCTGTGCTCTGATCGAAAAGAAGACCTCTTGTGGGGTTGCTGGTTGGAATATCTTTTATTTGATGCTTTCGTTGGTCGAAACAAAGAAAGGATAGTGTATCTTTTGGGAAGTTTTTGCGGAGAAGACTCTTCAAATAAGAGGTAGTTTGGCCTTTAAGGTCTTTGTGTCTCTTTTTGTAGAGATACAAAGCTGGGAAAATGTCTCATTAAACAGATTTTCTCCTCTTACTTAAAGCAGTTAAGTGTTACTGTGACATTTGCTCCAAATGGACATAAAAAAACAAGGCTTACATTGAAACAAAAAGAAAAATATCTGATATTCTGAATGACTTCAGTATGTTAGTTTATGTGCTCATGGTCTCCTCTTCTTTGCAGCAGATTAGAGACAAACGAAGCCAAAGAAACCTGCAGTCCTGAACTGAAGAGAGAAGACTCCTACATCTGGTTGTCTGACTCCAGCAGTGAGAAGGTAACGGCTTGTTTTTCTGCCTTCTCCCGCTAGTCTCAGATGAGGGAAACCTGATTCTGGCCCGTTCTGATTAGAGTGACCGGGAGGAGGCCGTGGGAGAGAGCAGCGAGGGCAAAGGAACCCCCAAAGGACGCAAGAAGATCCGCAAAATCATCGACGACGGGAGTCTCCGCGCCGAGACGCAGGAGGCTCTCAGGGAGGAGGAGGAGAGACGCAAACGCCTGGCGGACAGGGACCAACAGATGGAGGACAGGAGGGAGGTGAGGAAGAGAACCAGGGAGAACCTCACTGAGGAGATCAGGCCAGATCCCTAACCCACTGATGTGTGTGTCTGTGTGTGTGTGTGTGTGTGTCGTACCAGATCATTGTCATAGAGGACGAGCTGTCCCAGGTCCGGTGTCCCGTCACAACCAAGCTGGTCCTGGATCAGGACGAGGGGACCAAGGTGCCTCTTGTCCAGGTGCACAGGAACCTGGTGAAGATACTGAAGTCTCACCAGGTGGATGGTGAGTCAGATGTGTATATATTCAGAGTCAGGTCTGACCTGCTCTGTTTGGAAAGTGCTGTGAGATAATTGTTGTTGTGATGTGTGACTATAGAAATAAAATTTAATTGAATATATATATATATATATATATATATGTGTCTATATAGTACACATTGATATAAATATATATCAATGTCTCCTATATATATATATATATAGTGTATATAGTACACATTGACATATGTATATGTTTATATAGTAGAAATTTATATATATATCAATGTCTCCTATATATATATATATATATAGATACACATATATATACATATACATATGTGTCTATATAGTACACATTGATTTATGTGTATGTGTATATAGGAGACATTGATATATATATATATCAATGTCTCCTATATATATGTATATATATGTAGTAGACATTTTAAGACATGGCTGAATCTGTCCGTATGAATGACTCAAAAGGACACGTGTGCTTCTCTAACAGGTGTGCAGTTTATTTGGGACAGTTGTTGTGAGTCTGTAAAGAAGGCCAACTCTTCTCCAGGATCAGGCTGTATTCTGGCACACTGCATGGGCCTCGGAAAGACTCTTCAGGTCTAACTCTAACACTTACACACCGATCCCAGATAAACGCAAGCATTTTACAAGTCACTCATGATGTCACTAGTTGCAGAAAATGACCCTTTTCTGTCTTTTTTTTTGTTTTTGTTTTTCTCCTCGTAACTGTTGTGTTTTGTAGGTGGTAGCGTTCCTGCACACGGTGCTGCTCTCACCAAACCTACACTTCAGAACGGCCCTGGTCGTGTGCCCTGTGAACACCATCCTCAACTGGGAAAGCGAGTTCAAGAAATGGCAAAAGGACCTGGGAAAAGACAAAGTCAAGGTACGAAAGGACCCAAAAACGCGCCACAGAGTCGTCGCCTTTTCCCTTTCGTCGATAAGAGTTCAAAACGAAGATCTTCTCCAGGTTACAGAGATGGCGACGAAAAAGGTGGCGTTCGATCGAGTCAGAGCTCTGCAGATTTGGCAGCGGGACGGGGGGGTGATGATAATGGGCTACGAGATGTACCGCATCATGTCCGAAGCCCATAAAGGCCAGCGGGACGAGTGGAAGAAGGAGCTGAAGAGCGCCTTAGTGGACCCGGGTTCGGCAGCCTCGTTCTTGTTTCTGATCCAGTCCATTTCCCACCTCGGTTATCGGCTCACTGAAGCTCTTTCTCTTTTTCTCTTTTCGTCTCAGGCCCAGACTTTGTGGTTTGTGACGAGGGACACATCCTTCGCAACGAAGCCACCAATACCGCCAAAGCGCTGAACGCCATCAAGACCCGGAGGAGAGTGATGCTGACCGGCACCCCGCTTCAAAACAACCTCGTAGAGTGTAAGTCCAGTGTAAGCTTTTCGGTCAGCCGGTGTGGTTTATTGATTGATCGATGAGCACTTTATTGATCTCACAAGGAGAAATTAACTTCCAGTACAGCCCGTACCAAGATCATACAAACAAAACACGTAGACACACCCGTTCAGGAAGACCGTGGGCAGCCATTTTGTTCTTCAGAACAATGATACATCAGGAAAAGGGGGTTGCGGGAAGAGGGGGAAAAAAGGCCCAGTGCCACGCCCCCTACAGGACGTAACAGGGATTTAAAAAAAAACACCTCAGTACTACTTAAGCACAGATACAGTCAAATCACAACATCGAGGACAAATAGGGAGGGATGGATGGGGGTTGGAAGGAGGGGGAAAGGTAACAGAGAAGGCAGAGAGTCCAAGGAATGCATGAAGTCTATTTTTTTGTGTGTGTGTGTGAGTGTAAGCAAGCTGGAGTCCACAATCTACACACTAGATGGAATTTGTCCTTGTTATGTCCATACTCCTGCTTGGGAGGACACACTGTTCAGAAATCGTCTGCTTGGTCTAACACACAGAGATACGGGAGACAAAAGTGTGAATATTTGTGATGTGAAGGTGTTTTTGATGATGAGAACTCCTCTAAACCGCTGTCTAAGAGAAGCCATTTATTTGACCGGGCTGGCCAAAGACCACCACAGATTATTCAGCATGAAATTATGTCCGACGAGGGTTTTGTTCGCCTCCACAGACCACTGCATGGTCAACTTCATCAAGAAGAATCTCCTGGGCTCGCTGAGGGAATTCCGAAACCGCTTCATCAACCCCATCCAGAACGGCCAGTGCGCCGACTCCACCCCCAAAGACGTCAGGATCATGAAGAAGCGAGCGCACGTGCTCCACGAGGTGCTGGCTGGATGTGTGCAGGTATGTGGGAAAAGAAAAAAATCCTATGCAGAATCACTTGTGTAGTTTTCCTGCTTCACGGGGCTCTGCTGGTCTCCCTCCCAGCGTCGGGATTACTCCGAGCTGACCCAGTTTCTGCCCCCAAAACACGAGTACGTGCTGGCCGTGAGGGTCTCCCCCCTCCAGTGCAAGCTGTACCGCTACTACCTCGACCACGTCACAGGTGAGGGACGGTTTCCGGAAACACGGGTGGATTATCAAAGGTAGATTAATCCCAGGGGGTTGCCCCAAGAGCGAAGGCCCTCACACTGACTGACCACAATATGGAAAGGCACGTTTATTTGTTTGGCACAATTCAAATTGCTTCACAGAATTTAAAAGCAGAAAAATAATAAAAATTAGACAGATGAAAAGTGAAGGGTGCAGATAAAACACATTCAATTTCCGTATGCACAATTAAACAGAAGCGTTTTCGGCCTGGATTTAAACATTCAGAGTTGAAGTCTTTTTCTCGCATCTTAAGGAAGCGTGATCCAGACTTTAGGAGCATGGAACTGAAATGAAGCTTTACCTTTAGTTCTGACTCTGGGCCCCATCAGGAGACCAGAACCTGAGGTTCTCAAAGTCATAGCTGGTTCATATCGATAACAATGATTCTCATCTAGTTTTTCTGTAAAGATCAGCCAGATGTTCAGTCGGCAGAAGTGGAAACGGGTTTGTTTTTTTTGTTTTTTTTCCAGGTGAGGGCTCCCTGCTCAACAAACCAAAGCAGAGGGCCGGAGCAAACCTGTTCAAGGACTTCCAGGTCCTGGGTCAGATCTGGACTCACCCGTGGTGCCTTCATCTCAGCCACCTCAGAAAAGTCAACAAGGTACCAAAGTCCCGCCGGAGAGGCTTCAGTTGGTTTGGCTGAAGGTGACCAGTATCCGTGTGTCTGACCACAGAAACGTCCGGAGAAGAAGGGCCGAGCAGCCAAATGGAGAAACGTGGAAACCATCGTGGCTGACACGTAAGTCCCTGTTGTTTTTATTATCTGTTAACTAATTGACTGCCAGCCATTTTCAGAACAGAGAGTCCCATACTGCCAGTGTTTTTTGAGCATTTTGACAGATTTTTCAAGAGCCACAGAATAGTTTGTGCTATGACTATGTAAATACCGAACACACCAAAAGAAAGAGTAGACTCTCTTCTTTCATCAGGAAAAAAAATTTGTTTCTACCTTATTCCGTTCTTCCTGGACTTGCGTCTCACCGGCGCCATGTTCTCTCATAGCGAACCGTTACCTTTTTCTTATTTGCCTACAGTCTATGCTCATCTCCCATCAAAAGTGGCACTGCCACCTAGAGGGTCAATTTGTTACTACATACTCTGTCTAGAAGCCTGATATTTACGGACAAGCTTTAGCAGATCGTCCCCCAAGCCACTCGCGTTGAAAAACATAAAAGACGTCTATAGACGTCTTTAGCAGCCAATGAGTTAAGATCTCCTGATTTATTCCGGTGCTCAAGTCTGTCCATCTTTTTTTTGCAGCGGACAGAAAGCGAAGGAAGGAAACGAAGCGAACGGCAGCACAAACAACGCGGTGGATACGGTTGCCCTCGGAGACGGTACAGAGGGTAACCCCGCCCCCAGCTGCTCCGTGCACGTGTCGTGCACGCTCCGGTCCGGTTTCAGCCTTAAAACGAGCCGCTGTGTCCTCTCTCCTCTCTTCTGTAGCGGGGGCTTCCGCCACAGGCCCGAGGCCTCCCAACCCGGACGAGCTCTGGTACAAGAATCTGCTCTCTGGGAGTGACATCACCATCATGGAGCATTCTGGGAAGATGGTGCTGCTGTTCGAGATCCTCCGGATGGCGGAGGACCACGGGGACAAAGTGTACGTTTCTGTCTGGAAGTCGAACACAGCAGAAATGAGCAATTCCTGGCTGGGCTGCGTTCCAAAAATCCAGTTTTTTGTTTCCTCAGGCTCGTGTTCAGTCAGTCCCTGATCTCATTGAACCTCATCGAAAAGTTCCTGGAGGCCGCTCACAAAGGCAGAGCCGGTCTGTCGCTCAAAGGTGATTATAGACACCACAGAAAAAACGCCACGCTCTCCCGGGTCTGTGCCCATGGTTTAAGTTTGTGCCGTCTCGTGCTAACAGCGGGCAGCTGGATCAAAAACGTAGACTACTATCGTCTGGACGGCTCCACCAATGCTATGATAAGGAAGAAATGGGCGGAGAAGTTCAACAACACCGCCAACGGCCGGTAGGGGCCATGGACCGAACAAAACTTTGGCAGAATATTCCCTTCAGTTAATGAAAATGTTTTTATTCCAGTGGCCGGTTGTTCCTCATCTCCACCAAAGCGGGATCCCTCGGCATCAACCTGGTGGCTGCTAACCGGGTCATCATCTTTGACGCGTCGTGGAACCCGTCCTACGACATTCAGAGCATTTACAGAGTCTACCGCTTCGGACAGCTCAAGCAGGTGTTCGTGTACCGCTTTTTGGCTCAGGTAAACACCCAGAAGTCTCCAGGAACTTCACTTGAAACACAACTGTTAGGGACCTCTGCTTGTTAAAGTTTGAAAAAAAATGCGTACAATTTCATATGAATATCACATTTGATGTAGCAAAAATATCCGGAACCCAAAATAATCTCTGACGAGGCGTGGGAGGGAGTCTGGATTGAGGCTCATAGAGTTACAAACTCAAATATGTGGCGGGAATATAAATGGAAAATTATTAGCAGATATTTCAGGACCCCAGATGTGGGTGCCAAGATGGATCCTAAAGTACCAAGCTTGTGTTGGAGAAATTGTGGCTCAGCGGTCCCCAATCATACACACATTTTCTGGTCATGCCCCAAACTTCAAAACTTTTGGGATGAGGTGTACAGAACTATAAACCACATTTTCCCAGGAGTTATACCAAAGGATGTTTCAGTTGCGGTGCTTGGTATTATACCAGATGGTTTGCAAGGACGGGCCAAAGCATATCTGTTAAATGTCCTTTTTACAGCTGCCCTGAAATGCATCACAATAAGGTGGATGCAGCTGGAGCCTCCTTCCTATGACTTATGGGTCCAAAAAGTAAGGGAATTGTACCAAATGGAAAAGATAACCTACTCATTGAGACTTCAAAAAAACACTTTTAACCTGCGCTGGGGGCCAGCAGAAGCAATGTTGTTGTAAATAAACCCATATGATGTCTAGATATTCCTCCCAAAGTGTTGTATGACGATGAACCTACAGTTGTAACTAAGATGTTTATTTACGGAAAACTTCATATTGTCAACATTTGTGTCATGTACCTTTAATGCATGGTTGTATCATTGCTCTGCAAAAATAATAAAAGTCTAAGTTCTAAAAAAAAAAAAAAAATATCCGGAACAATGCCAGAGGTCCAGTTTTCAACTCATTTGTACCAAGTTAAGTTTTTTAGGTTAGATCTTAGAGATGGTTGTTAAAGATGCTTTACTTTTCTTTAATTTGTTTTTGTTTGTGTCCATAGCTAAAGAAAAACACTGGGAAAAAACAGCCACACGATCACTAAATTAACAGACTTTTTTATTTAGGGCACCATGGAAGAGAAGATCTATGACCGGCAGGTGACCAAGCAGTCGCTGTCGTACCGGGTTGTGGACCAACAGCAGGTCGAGAGGCACTTCACTCTGATCGAGCTGACCGAGCTCTACGCCTTCGAGCCGGACCTGCTGGACGACCCCAACTCCAAGAAGAGCAAGAGGTGCCCCCCTCTGTTACCAAAGGTGACTTTTCCCTCTCCTGTCCGGAGCCGTCCGTGTCGAAGATCAGAAAAAAATCAACTAACGAAAAAGAAAACCTGTTTTTAAACAAAAAGACAAAGATGATGTCCACAGGAGTCAGCTTTCTCATATAGAGAGCTCTATTATGCCATTCTGGGTTAAGCGCCCCCCCTCCACCTCTCCCATTCCTCTGCTTATTCCATGATGTTATTTTTATTTTACGTTTCTCAGGACAGCATCTTGGCGTGCCTGCTGGAGACCTGTAAGGACCACATCGTGTCCTACCATGAGCACGAGTCCCTGCTGGACCACAAGGAGGAGGAGGAGCTCAGCGAGGCCGAGCGCAAAGCCGCCTGGGCCGAGTACGAGGCCGAGGTAAAGACCCAGTAGTGTGATTCTAACGAGGAAAAACCTCCTGTCCCAGATAAGTCTTCGGTTAAGGCAGGGGAGTCAAACTCCAGTCCTCGAGGGGCCGCTGTCCTGCAGGTTTTAGAGGTACCCCTTTTTCAACACACCTGATTCACATCAAAGGGCCATTAGACAGGTGCAAAGCTCAACAATGTCCAGAGGAGATCCAATTTAATAAGAATCAGGTGTGCAGAAGCAGGAAAATGTCTAAAACCTGCAGGACAGCGGCCCTGGAGGACTGGATTCTGACACCCCTGGGTTAAGGTCATAACCCGCCATAATTCGTGTTTCCCAACAGTCCAACACCACCACTGCCCCGGGCAGCACCAGCCAGGACGAGTTGAATCAAAAAACCAACGAGCAGCTATTGGTACGGAGAGAAATATATTCCATTTTTTTCCCGAAAAAATTAACGTGACTTTAAGTTTCCAGTAAACGTTACGAAATTATTTTTTTCCCCCTCCACAGGAACTGCTGAACAAAAGCAGAACCAACGTATCGGTGGCCTTCCTCACCCTGCAGAAGATGAAGCTGAACCCCATCGAAGAGTACAAGTTACGACTGGTGAGCCACCTGAACGTGACAAATCCGTCCCATCTGGGACCAGATGGAAGCCACACACAGGGGGACTGAATTAACTCATTGACTGCCAGGGTTTTTTGAGCATTTTGACTGATTTTTCAAGAGCCACAGAATAGTTTGTGCTATGACTATGTAAACACCGAACACGCCAAAAGAAAGAGTAGACTCTCTTCTTTCATCAGGAAAACATTTTTTGTTTCTACCTTATTCCGTTCTTCCTCGACTTGCGTCTCACCGGCGACATGTTCTCTCATAGCGAACCGTTACCTTTTTCTTGTTTGCCTACAGTCTATGCTCATCTCCCATCAAAAGTGGCACTGCCCCCTAGAGGGTCAATTTGTTACTACATACTCTGTCTAGAAGCCTGATATTTACGGACAAGCTTTAGCAGATCGTCCCCCACCCACTCGCGTTGAAAAACATAAAAGACGTCTATAGACGTCTTTGGCAGCCAATGAGTTAATAGGGGGAAATAAAGTAGACGGGATTTCTGGCTGTTCCTTTGTTCATGTTTTTGCTGCTCCTTTCGTCCCGTAGCGGCAGCAGTACCCCCTCCTGGCCGAGGCAGACGTCCAGGCCAAAGCTGAGATCTGGAAGGAGTACGACGATAAGCGGAAGCAAATCACGCAAACCTTTTACCGGGACGCGCTCCACCAGCAGCGATCCGTAAGTCTCGTCCCGGGACGCAAGCTTTTCCGTAAAGATTTGCACGAGTGGCCGCTCTCACGTTTGATTCGTCCCCTTCACAGCTCACGTTCAGAATCCAGGGGATCCTGAACAGCCGCAGAAAGCAGGAGATGCACACGGCCGCCGCCGCCAAGCCTCCCGAACAGACGGCGTGAGGTTTACCGCGACCTCGTCTCTCCAAATCTGAACTTCTGAGAAGGAAAATGGCTCCTGGCGTCTCATGTGTCCACAGCAGCTTGTCGTCGTCGTCATTTCTGGTAGCTTTTCTCATACTGTGCACTTTAACCAACACAGGACAAATAACCGTCATTCAGAAGTGTACTTTTTCTTTTTTTTACCTTTGACCTTTTCTTGCTGTCCTGGAAGGTAACCGACTACTCCTTAAAAGCTGTCGAATTCATATTTGGTATGTTTCCTAATAAATTAACGTTATTTTGTGGATGGGTAGTCGTGCTGTGATCACAGGGCGATCTTCGTCTGGTCCGTTGCCTCCGATAAGAATGTCGTGTGCTGAAACTGTACCGTCTCTTTGTGGGATTGAAGCTTTAAAATAAATATTTTTCTGCACAGCTAGCGCGCCACACAGATCTCCGCCAGGTCTTCGTGTTTCCGTCCCTGAGAAAATCCCATCAGGAACTCGGCAGCTGTTCGGATACGCCGCCGTTTCCCAAAAAAGAAGCCGTGCGCCCTAGACCTAATTAGTTAATTAATGAATCTGAGCAGCTGTGGCTCTGGAAAATCTTCCAAGGTTGCCTTCAGGGTGCTCGCCAGCTGACGCGTGAACAAAAGAAATCAGCGCGTGTCTCACACTAAAGAGGCTTCTTGTAAACTGGAGGTATAAAAGGCAGACAGGGAAAATGACAGGAACAATCTGAGTGCACACAGTCTTTAAAAAAGAAGCTTTTTAAAAAAAAAAAAGAGTCAACAGTATTCACAAAGAGTGCAAAAGATTAAAGAGGAATACAAATATTGATATCCACAGCAGTACAATGACGATCAGGTTTGAGGTTTGGAGTCATCTCGTAGGATATTGGGGAATGGCTGATTGTAATTCATAAGTGGTTAAAGATGCACTGGCAGCAAAAGGAGTTAGCATAACAGGCAGCTTAGGCAGGAACGATGGTCGAGCAGCAAATTGTATCCACACGCATGCAAACAGTACGTTTAGTTTAGTTTGTTGTGGCTTCTCAGGAGGAGGAGCTCCACCAGCATGCAGTGGTTTAGAGTGTCAGTCCACAGGTTTGATACATGGATTTACCATTTTGAGATTATATTTATTCCTATCGACAAATTTCGAGAGGTCGCTATAGGATCTGGAAAGATGGAGACTTGAAAGACCAAATGGAGGAATCACAACGGAGTCAGTTGTGATAATAATTGTTGGTTGTGATCCTGAACAATGTCGCTGTGGATTTCTGTAGACAGACGCGAGACAAAGGACCCACCCTCAGGTTTCATAAAGAGTTATGAACAGAAAGACATTTTCTGACATCTTGAAGAGAAAAAGGGCAGAAAATTAGGATTTTTGGATGGAAATTACATATTTACAAGTAAAGGTGCCGCCTATTTTGTATGTTTGTGTAAAAAAAAAAAAAAAAAAGTCCAACATGTTATATTTAAGTTACTAAAAAAAAAAAAAAAAAAGATGGTCCACAAAAACTAGTCCAGTGACCTTCACAGTGATGCTGTAGTTTCCTGACTGAGTCTCGGCGTAAACTCCGAACACGCCGCTTGTTCCTGTTTCCGTCGGTGACCACAGCTGGGCGCCGTGCAGCTGCCCGGTAACGTCCAGGTGAGGTGGGCCGCCGGTTAGTGTCCCGTGTCCAAATCCCTCATGTACTCCTGCAGAGCCTGCAGTCTGGCGTCGATTTCTGACAGCTCGGCGCCCGTGTCTAAAGAGCTCTCTGGGGTTTGAGACACTAAACGACAATTAGTGGTGCAGCAGCAAATAACGTGGGGGAAAAAAAAAACAACCTGGTTTAGACATCTGGATGAGTCACCTTTGTGTCTAACTCTCTGTGTTGGTGTGCTGCAGTAGGGCTTTCTGCTCGGATGGCTGCCTCTAGGCTGGAAAAGAGAAGATGCACTTTTAATGACAAAGCTTACACCTCTGGGATTATTCAAGTATTTCTGATTTATTCAGGCTTGAACTCCTCACCTGTCTAGAATACCAGTGCTGGTTTATCAGAAAGCATTAAAACAACATGACTCACCACAGTAGGTCCATTAAAAACTTGTTTCCTTCCTCTATAAAAAGGGAAAAAAAGGGACAGTTAAGTAACATTTTTACTTTAACTGAGCGCATCCAGAGCAGCTCCGGTACCTGAACAGGTTTTTGGACATCTCCTCCATATCCACTAACGAGCTCTCGGAGGAGTTCCTGCTGCCCCGGCGCTCCACAGAGAGGCTCCTGCCCCTGCTGCCGGCCCGGGCCCCCGGAGGACAGGCCTCCCGGGAGCGGGAGCGGCCCCTCTCCGGGGCCACGGGCGACGCCAGCATGTCCCTTCGCACCTTCCTCTGCCTGGAACGAGACGGCTGGTGAGGGGGCGGAGCCTGTCAGAAGCCCGATACAGAGCATGGGGGAAGGGGTGGAGCCTACTTTTTGAACTCCGCCTCCTTCTGCCTGCGCTGCCTGTCCTGGATGTAAGCCGTGGGGTCGAAGCGCGTCACCCGGGACCCTGCAACGTCCAGATTAGATTTAAAGGAGACATATTATACCCTATTTCAACAAGTTAAGCTAGTTCCCTGGTGTCCTAATGTAATGTCTGTGACAAGCTTTGGTCAAAATCCCAAAAGGATGAAGCCCAATAGCAGTTCAGTCCCCCTGCCAAAACAGCCCCGTTCAGAGTGCTCGCTTTGGAGTGCCTGTGTCTTTAAATGCAAATGAGACACAAGCAATCCACCCACTTCTTCCGGGAGGTGTGCCCACGTCGGCACGCTAACGCTACCATGCTAACGCTACCATGCTAACGCTACCATGCTAATGCTCACGCTACCACGATGTCTGCCACAGATAGGCGGAGTAAGCTGAGGGGGGGGGGGCAACATGCAAGTGAAAGGCTGGAATATTATAATGAGCTAGAGCTAATGACGTCAGAAACTACCCACTCCTGAAACCTCCTGATTTATCTCCTGGATTCAGACTGAGGCGGCCCACAAAAACATGACTCAGTCATTTTTTTTTCAAATTTGGCCTGCTGATAGGCCCTCCACAGTCCCAAATGTACACAATCAAATGATTAAAACCTTGGTTTAGCATAATATATCCCCTTTAACGTATGTTCATCCCCTGACAGAGGGGTTTCCCGTGGTGACCGTTTACCGGTGGGCGACGGTGAGAGCCGGGGTATGCGGGCGTGCGGTCCTGAGGAGTCCGCTCTCCTTCCCCGCTCCCCCGACCGGAGCGCCCGGTCCTCCGGCCGCTCCCTGGAGCCCGACCGGGCCCTCGCCGCCCCGTAGCCGGACCTCCTCTCCCGGGAAACGGAGCGGTAGGCCTCGCCGTCCAGCCGAGAGCCGAGGTGGCCGCCGGACACGGGGGTCACCCGGCTGCGGACAAACCAGGAGTTTAGGGGGGAGTCGAGGACACCCGGGTGTCAGGAGTTTGGGTCACAGTTGGGGGAAAATGAAAGGAGAGATAGAAAGTAAAGATATAGTACACGCTTAGAATGTCTAACCCTCTCCGTAGCAGCGCCAGCTCGTTGGTGAGACTCTTAACTCGAACACGCAAAGCACACTCGGAGGCTCGCAACTCCGCTAGCTAGACAGGAAAGAAGGAAAATGTTTTTAAAAAAACGCCGAGTAACAAAGGAAAATGGCGATTTTTCGAACGGCCCTCCCACCTGCTCCACCAGGAGGCGCTGCTCCAGGGTCTTTTTGCTGGTGGAGCGCTGGCTTTTGGCCCTTTCTCTGACCAGCTGCTCCTCCAGAGTCCTCACCACGTCCCCGATCCTCCAGTCCCCCCGGCCGGACGTGGAGGCGCCTTCGCTCATCTGCAGCCGCTCCAGAGCTTTGGCCAGGGCGTCCTTCTCCTCCTTCACAGCAGCTAGCCTTAAAAAATAATAAAATTAACATTTAAAAACAGGGAGCAGACGTCAGGCCAATGCCCCGATTCTCTCAAGGTCCGGCTCACGGCGAGTGAATGAACGCGGCTCACTCTGCCTGCAGCCTCTGGACTTCCAGGTCGGCAGGTTGGTTGACTCTGTGTGAGGCGTGAGCGCTGAGCTCGGCCCGCAGGGCTCGGATCTCCTTCTGCAGGGCGGCCGGGTCAGGCTTCCCCACATATGGCAGCGGTAGCGGGTAGTGGATCCTACACACGAGCACGAAGGCAGCTCAGCGCGTCGGCCCAAAAAAATCAAACAAAACCAAACAAAACCACTCAACGGAAGCATTTCCACTTCACCCACCTGTCAAACTCCACGGTGTAGATGAGGATGAGATATCTCTTGGCCGTGAGGGCGGTGGACTGCTGGTTGCTACGGGGACGGCTGACCACTCCGGCTTTTCTGTTGCGTAGCAGCTCCAGGTCGGCATAGGTCAAGAGGTCAAGGGTTACAGAATCACTCGTCTGGGGAGAAGAACTCTTGTTTAGACGAACAAACTCAAAACAGCAAAAATCTTAAGGAAATGTTGTTCTTTTCTGTTTTCTCCCTTAAGCACAACCTGATAATATTCATATTGCTTTTTTTTCATCCTCTAGTCCACCTGACAGTAGTTTTTGCTAAACAAAATGTAAAATATGAAGATGTATTCCTCTCTAATTGCACAAAACAAAACAAAAAGACTACCATTTTTATCCAGACCCTCTACTTTCTGCCTTTGTGTCCATTACGAGGCGACAGGGAATAGCACAGATCGGAATAACTGCATTTCTCACTCAAGTGGGCACGCTGAGTTCGAGTGAATGAGTCTCCCCCTTCAGCTCAAACAGCCTCCAGCAAATCTGTCTGTTCAAATCTACCTACTGACTTTATCCTGCCTCCAAATTTGCACTGTAGCATAACCGTGTGAACAATCAAACGTACACTTCTAACAGCCGACTCCAACATGCTGCAGAAGATCGGAAACTGCTTGAAGTTGCCAGTTTTGCGAGTTAGGTCTTCGATATCTAAAACACAAAACAAAAACAAAACATTCAAACAAAATCAAATAGCATCGCAGAGAGAAAGCTGCATGTTTTCTTAACTGTACACTTACACGCTGGATCAAATTCCCCTCTCCACTGATCCGCTGTCAGCGAGTCAGAGATTTCCACTATCAACACACCCTTGTCCAACTCGATCTTAACAGAAAACTCCACTCCTCGAAACACAATGTCCTCCATCACCTCAGAGCCCTCCTCCATTGTTGTGGGTCTGTGTCAGAAAAATGACAGCTATAAATTAGTGGAGAAAGCCTCATGTGATAGAAAATTGACAAGTGGGCCAGTAAGAATTGATTTACTACATTGTGTGAGTAAATAAAGGAAGGAAAACTGAAAGGATGGCATTTAGTTTTTCTGAAAAGCCATAATTTAATAGAGTATTGCAATTATTATAGATTTTTTTTATTTTCTTTAGCCAAAGCCTCCATACAGCTGCGTGCAAGTACCTGAACGCACCGCAGGGGGCGGTAGTGAGCCCCTCTCATTTAAAAGCGAATTATTTACACGGAAAAAAGTTCAGATTTGGAGACAACAACACAAATATGTCTGAGCTGAAGTCTGAACATGAGATAAAATAGTGGATTAAAGGATCGATGGTTAATGGGGCCTTCAGTGCCCGGTTAAAAACGCTGTTCATTTCGCGCTTCACTTCACTTTCTCCCGTCCTGTCATGCTTCTTCAATCTGTTTATTCACCTTCACCGTTTGCAGAGACATTTGCCGCAAATGCTCCGAAAACGTTAACTGACAACATAGTTGGCGAGTGGTGCATTTTAAACTCAGGTTTGTGAAATATAAAGCAGTTTTCCTCTGCTTTTCGTTGAAGAATGGCAGCTAACGAGAGTTAACTGACCACCGTTAGCTACGGTTAGCTAGCAAGGACAGTACAGTCAGAGCAATTTATCTCTAACTATTCACGACTTATGAATCAAAATATTAGTTTCTGAAACAAAAACGCCAAACAAACGTACGTTAACGCTACCTTTAAGCTGCACCGACGGACCTTGACGTGGCTAGCTGTCAACGCAAAGCTTCCCGTTGGGTAAACATCTCTGGGAGTTGAGTCAAACAAATAGTTCGCCGATTTTACTGGTGATGCTTTCAAGTCCCCAAAAATTTGTTAGGCGTCGGCACCGTGGAAACGGGGACGGCTCCACAACCGGGAACCGTTAAATTCTTCTTCTTCGCCTGAGTTTTCCGTTGACGCTCTTCGTCTGCCTCAATTTTACGGAGCACCGATGAGTCGCTGGCGGATCGGTGCCCCCTAAAGGTAGCGGGCGGACATTACATCAACGGGACTGTTTATTCCGGTTCAGTGGTAAAATAAAAATAAAGTTTACACTTATTCAGCACTTGAACTCAGCATTGAGCTGTATCTAAGTTTCTATTTTTTTCCATTAAAAACATCACATGCTTTTTCTATTTCAAATATTTAAATTTATTTTTGTCCTGAAAATTATTATTATTATTATTATGATTATTATTATTATTATTATTATTATTATTATTATTATTATTATTATTAGTATTATTATTATTATTATTATTAGTATTATTATTATTATTAATAAAATTATTCAACACTTGAACTCAGCGTCGAGCTGTGTCTAAGTTTCATACTTTTTCTCTTTCGAATGTGTTTTCAATTGATTTTTTTTTTGTCTTCTGCGATTCCTTTATGTTTGTGTGAGTAAACGTAGCCGAAATAAGTATTGAAACACAAATACGTTAGTTTTTTTTCATGAAAGGAGTTTTGACTGCAAACACTTGAATATTTAAGTTTGTGTATATCTTTGTGTTGGTTTCTGCTGAGATTTGAAGTGGAGCAAAATGGGGTGCAGACTTTTTTGACCAGCCCGACTTTGCAGTGTTGTGATTTGAGCGGACAGCATGGTGACTCCCTCCATCATGGACTGCAAGGTGTGTCATCTAATTGGGAAGTTTCTGTCTCCTGGTTCAATGGCACCAACATCTTCGAGCAGCTTTGAACAAAAATCCCCAGAGAGCATAGTAGTTTTGGAGGAGGCTGTCCTTCCCAGCCTGTACTTCAAAGAGGAGCTGCAAATGGATCAATGACAGCCTTGTCCTTGTAATGACATCTGAGGAAGGACGATGTTACTCCCATGCCCCATTTTACACAAAATAAGCCAGCGGGCTGTAATGAAAAGTAGGTCCATGCAGAGGAGGGACATATGGACGTCACCCTGTTCCCGGGGTTCTCTGACGTAACACTGATCTTGGACAAGCAAAAAACTGAAAATGGTGCAGTTTTATCCAGTTTCTGCTTTGAGCTGAAACACATCCACGGCTACGGCTGAATAAGTAAAAAAGAAAAGAAAAAAGGTTTATAAAAACCAGTATGTTACGGTTTTGGTTTCTAACTTTTTCTTTAGAATCAAACTGAAGTAAAGGCTAACGGTTTCTAAGTCCTCTGATGTTTGACCGTTCGAAAAAAGAGTGTAATTGTTGCTTTTTTGCATGTCAAGGCAGATGTCCTCTGTGTCTCACACACCTGTCTGCTGCTGTTACTGAACCATCGGTCGGCAGCCGAGGGAACCCCTGCCCTCACCTACGGCCCCAAACAAGATTAAAGGAATGAACAAACAGAGAAACTGGTAGTCATGCTCAATAAATCCTCCCACGCAGTCTGTAGCCACAACAAAAAGCCCTCTCAGAGGCCGCACCTCAGAGGTGGTATAGACACATATAGGGAGAATAAAAATGCATTTCCATCTTCAACTTTAATAGGCTGGTTACTAATCTGTTTGGTTATCGTAAACCTCAGTTTGAATCGTTCGTATGGACCACGTCATCAGGATTAATTCCCCCACCGCAGCTCAATGGAGGCACCAATAATAACAAAATCCCCAATGCTTCAAACCAGACACACTCTGAATCATTCGCCGTAAGTGGCGTCATTGTAAATGTAAAGGAACATGCTTTTTATACGGAGACAAATGCTCCAATCAGGCTGTGCTTAAAAGAGGAGGAGGGGGCTTTTTGCAGGAGATGGTGATGTCAGATGAAACATCAGACAGGCTCTCAGTTCCCACAAAAAAAAAAGAAAAGAAAAAAAAGAGAAACTGGAGGACTCCCTCTCCTCATTGTTCAGCAGATTCATGGCATGAGCGCACGCAAAGCCATCAGCGCCAGGGGAGTTGACTGTCAGCAAGTCAAGGTAATATTTGCTTTCTTCTGGTTATTTGAGGGTCTGTGGCATGAACATCATAAATATGAAAAGACTCAGATGTCTTTATCAGTGTTGTGCTCACTTTCCTATCCTGTAGTCCTTATTTGATTAGGTTCTAACCCCATTGGGGCATCTTTGAAATAGTTCTGTGTGATGAAGAATGCAAAAATAATGTAACAAGTATTTGTTTCTTCAAACCTGCCCATGATGTGAATCTTTATTTTTGACACACTGCACTCTCTTTAAGTCTCTAATTTCTTAGCTAATTAACTCAAGGTGTTCCGTGACTGCCCCACATGCCTCATTGCGTAAGTAGATGATCGTCTATGTTTTTTTCTGTGACAGGTGTGCCGTGTTGAGTGAGTTTGTGCGTTGCCGGGGGGGGTGGGGGGGGTGTGAGCGCCCATGGCTCGGAGGAGGGCGTCGGGCTGCTGCTGCAGCCCCGGAGCGCCGGTGAACGAGGACAACGCTCGCTTCTGCCTGCTGGCCGGCCTCATCCTGCTGTACCTGCTGTGCGGCGCCGCCATTTTCTCGGCTTTGGAGCATCCCTTCGAGATCCGCGCCCGCCTCCTCTGGAAGCAGCAGCTGGACAACTTCACCCGGAGGTACAGGGTCAACCTGGGGGCCCTGCACACCCTCCTGAGGCAGTACGAGGAGGCCAACGGGGCCGGGATCCGGGTGGACACGCTCAGGCCGCGCTGGGACTTTTCCGGAGCGTTCTACTTCGTGGGCACGGTGGTCTCCACTATCGGTACGTGTTCACTTTGAAACGCTTGTACACAACTTCTATTTTCAATTGTTCACGGTACAAAAATAAGACTTTAAGTCAACCCTTAAGTGGGAGGCACGGTGGTGTGTTGGGTACCACCTTCGACTCACAGCCAGAAAGTTCTGGGTTCGAGTCCCCGGGGGAACCAGGACCTTTCTGGATGGAGTCTGCATGTTCTACTGTGTCTGTGGGTTCTCTCTGGGTTCTCCAGCTTCCTCCCACCGTCCAAAAACCTGCATGTTAGGTTGACTGGACACTCCAAATTGGCCTTAGGAATGAATGTGAGTGTGCATGGTTGTTGGCCCTTGTGTGTCTCTGTGTGTCCATGTAATGGACTGGGAACCGTCCAGGGTGACCCCGCCTCTCCCCATTGACTACTGGGATAGACTCCAGTCCCCCCCCCCCCCCCCCCCCCCCCTTAGGGAATAAGAAGTAACGATAAGTATGTACAATCTTTCTTGAACTTTTACAGGTTTCGGCATGACCACGCCTACGACCATAGCGGGAAAAATATTCCTGATCTTCTACGGTCTCATTGGCTGCGCCGCCACCATCCTCTTCTTCAACCTCTTCCTGGAGAGGATCATCACGATGTTGGCCTACATCATGCGCTGGTGCCACGAGCGCCGGCTGCGGTGCGGCGGGGTGAGGGTGGTCTCCAGCAGGGAGGCGTCCTCCGGCGAGGAGGAGGACAGCCTGGAGGGCTGGAAGCCGTCGGTGTACTACGTGATGTTGATCCTGGGCGTGGCGTCCGTGGTCATCGCGTGCAGCGCCTCCACGCTCTACAGCTCCATGGAGAACTGGAGCTACGTGGACTCGCTCTACTTCTGCTTCGTGGCCTTCAGCACCATCGGCTTCGGGGACCTGGTGAGCAGCCAGAGGGAGCAGTACGACTCCCAGGGGGCCTACCGCCTGGGAAACTGCCTCTTCATCCTGATGGGGGTCTGCTGCATCTACTCCCTCTTCAACGTGATCTCCATAGTCATCAAGCAGACGCTCAACTGGATCCTGAGCAAGCTGGTCTGCTCGGGCCGCCACCGGCTGTGTTCCTGCTCCACGCGGGGCTGCTGGTGGCTCTGCTGCCCCTGTCTCCAGGGACAGAAACGCAACCACCTGCCCGCCCACCTCCGGTCCCAACGCGCCCGGCGCAACAAGGTCCGGCCCGCCTCCTCCCACTGCCCGGCGGGCCGCCACCGCTACAGGGACGGCTCCGTGGAGACGGTGTGCGACAGCGAGACGGACGCCGGCGGCGGCGCCGTTGCCGAGGTGCACGCGGGCCGGCGCCTGTCCGGGGAGATGATCTCCGTCAACGAGTTCATGGCGTCCAACAAAGTGTCCCTGGCTCTGCTGCAGAAGCAGCTGAGCGAGACGGCCCATCAGGGCCCGCGTCCCAGCTACGGCCACCAGAACGGATTCTCCGGCGGGGTGGGGGCGCTCGCCATCATGAACAACCGCCTGCAGGAGACCAGCGTGGACAGATAGCATCAGATAGTAGCGTCTTAGCTAGGCCTGTGTACACCGACGGGGGGGCTTGCTGCATTGGAGCGCCAAACCCCTCAGGAAAAGTCTTACCAGAAGATTATTTATCTAAGAAAACCAATCATCTGAGAACTGAGCGATTTCCTTAAATTTCTACTCTTTTTTTTGGTCATATTAGCATAAATCAGTGCAGATGACAGCAGACAGCCGACATGGACCCTGACAATAATGCAGCGTTTTGTTTGGTGTTAAGAAAAGAAAAAAGCTAAATACAGCTAAAAAGTCCTCAACGACACAGTGAAGAGAGGGCTGATGTCCACGAGTGATTGACTCATAGGAAAGCAATCACACGAAAGAAGCCGTGAAGGGCCACTTTGAGAAGACTGCTGATTTTGGAGTGCCGTCCATGTTTCTAGCCTGCTCCACAGACGAGGTCGTATGTGAGGTGGTTTCGAATAGTCGCGGACATACAAAGACGACATGGGCTGCCTCCTATATGTGTACAATATTTAATATGTGGTTAGATTCAAACATAGCTGTTCTAACCCAAAGGGAGCTCACAAGTACCAAGAGAGGGGCATTTTAATTAGCTGATTGTTAGCAGGGCATCTATCTCAGCTCATTGCATGCTATTGAAATTCATAGCCATCTTGAAAGAGATCTGAACTCTCAGAAGAGAATATCTAATCAAACATCGCCCGTTGAGGACACCCTTATGCCAGTTAAGTGCTTTTGCAAGAAGTTGAAGATCAAATAAGCACAGCAGAGAGAAATGAGACCATTACTATGCAAGGGGGAAAATTCATTTTTAATTCATTTGATCGAGTTCTTAACTGTTTTAGTCAAGAGAAAGACTCCTTTTTACAGGTCTCATTAGAAGTGTCAGAAAAAAAATGACCAATTTATAAGCAAGGAGAAAAACTTATTTGGTGAATATTTAAATGTCAAAACACAGAAGGTCGTCAGTTAGATGCTCTTTATTTAGGTTTAAAACAATCATTACTCTTATCATGTAAAGTCTACACAGAAAACGACTCAAAGGCTCAACAATATCTTACGATGCAGGTAAAATAACCCATGCAGACCCGTTCTGTTGCTGTTTTATCAACTACATAAAAGGTGAATAAGGCAGCACAGTACACAGACCAGTTCACAGAAAGAATACATTTCATGGACACTTAGAAGAATGTGTTGAGAAATGTGGTAAATATATAGAAAGAAACACGATTTGTCAGCAAGTGCAGATTAACCGCAAACCTTTTTGGATATGTTTACTTTATTGTTTTGTCTTGCTGTCAAACGTCCAGCTAAAAGGTTCCTTTCTGAATGTTCTGGAAAAACAAAATGGCTCCCATCGCTTTTGAACGAGTTAAGAGCTTTTAATGATGTTGTGAAATGTATTTTTTCCTTTTCGTGTGTAGAATAAGATATTTGATTAGCTTATTTTGTCGCTGGCCACTCTCAGCAAAGACACAGAAACATTTGTTGGTGCCAAACTCTTTGCGTTGTTGCTCTTTTCCTGTTGGGACCTGTGGTATCATTTAGCTGCATGCTAACTTTCAGCTGGCTATCAAAAAATGTTTCTTCACATTTCCGTTGCTGGACTAGAATGGCAAACTTAAATGATTTATTCTTATTTATATCTATTCTTAAAACATCTTATTTTCTTTAAATAGTACCTGACTTGTATTAACATTCCTGCTTTTATCCAATGAAAATGCACAGCTTCATAGGCGCTTGTCACTCAGTTTTAAAGTGTCTCATTTAGATTTATCATCTGTACCGTCTGTTCGCTGGATAAGAGGCTGAGGTTTGTTGCTTGGTCTGTGTCTCTGAGTAAGTTTTAACAAAATATCCCTCTCATATAAATATAAAGTATCAGGCTTTAATAGATATATTTTTGCATTGTATTTGTTACCAGAAAACGCTGCTTGCTAGCATGATGTAAACAAACTCCTCTGTCTGTTCAGGATCTCCCTTCTTTTGAAATTGCACACACGGGGGGAAACAGCTTTAGTATTCACATTAATTACAGTCCCTGTTCATCTCCGAGAGGTAAAAATCCGTCCGGGCCTCTCATGAGCCTCCCAAACCCTGTAAAGAAACGCAGAGCAGGAAATGAAGGTGAATGAACTTTCCGTGATAGAGGAAACTCTCTGAACTATACTCTCTACTCACATTTGGTGGCGTAGGCTTGTATGTTTCTCTTTGTTGGTAGTAAGCAGAGATAATACAGTTCCTCCTATAAAAATATAGAAGGACCTTGCTGCAGTTTATCACAACAATGATTCAAACAGTCAACACCAAACGCTCACTTTGACTTTGCTTGTCTTACTTGCTCTGTATGCCTCCACCGGGAGGTAATCCAGGAATAACGCTTGATGCCAGGACTGTGAGGACAGAGAGCAGGTCAGGTTCCTCCCCTGTGGCACAGAGCTCATCATAGATCTCTGTCAGAGAGAGAACACAAACATTAACACGTGTCAAAAGTTCAGATCCAAAGAGTGTGTCATGTAAAAGCCCTCATTAAGGGGGAACTTTGGATTTTGACTATTAGCACAGAGTTTCATCACATGAAGTGCAGATTGTTCATTTTTTTATATAATATACTGTTGTTTTTGCATTAATAGAACTACTAAATTGATACACCTTGTTTGTTTTGTAGGTGTAAATGTTAATAGCACTCTCAGTTTGGATGTGTCTGCGTTATTTAGTGATGACTTGCATTCTTTACCTCGAAATATCTGGATTTTTGCACCATAAAACACAAAGACTTGCCTCTCTCCCAGAATGGATACGCTCAAATTTAGTGTTGTCATCATGTGACGACAACCCACAATTTTTTTTACCTGCTAGTTAAATTAATTAATTAACTTTATGCGGGAATTTAGAGTTTTGGATTTTGCAGCAATATCCAGCACCTTCAATCATCTTTCTGTGGCTCTGTCTCCTTCTGTTATCCCCTGGTGCACACTACACACAACAGGGACTAAACTAACAACCTGTCCACTGGTGCAAAGCCGTATCACAGGGGAAGAAAGCCGCCCACATCCAAATGAGCTCAGCTTCACCCGTTTTTCTGTCACTGTTAGTTAAAGTTTAGCTGTTTTTATGTTTTTAGTACCTAAGAAGAAAATATGTTTGAACAATTCTGTTTGACAAAGCAAAATGGGAGAAGACATTCCAAAAAAATCAATTCAGCCGGGGGAAAAGAGAGTACCATGTATTGGAAAAACTGAGAAAATTAAGGGTATTGACTGTGTGTAAACAGACAAACTAATGCAGTTTCTTGGATACTCTGGCTGTGGTTGACAGATTAGAGCCACGGTTTGATCTTTTTGGTATTTTTTTGCAACACAAAAACATATGTTTTTTGCAAAGATTAGATTAGACAAAGTATATTTTCAACACAATGCTTTTTGCACACATTCTGAACCCACACACCTGCAACTTTGGACTCCAGCAGGTCTTCCAGCTCGGCCTCCTGGTGTAATGCCTCTGCCGACAGCTGAGGGGCTCCAGGGAAGCACAGCAGGATGATGCTGATGTTGTCCAGGCTGCCCTGTGGAGCGGAGCGGAGACGGCCACGGCTGAGTAACCACGCTCCACTTTACACATGTCAACTCGAACAGCTTTATACCGTTCTGCGTGCAAGATTTTTTAAAGATGGATTATTTTCACCTCGTGGTTTGTACACAAACGGCACACGGGGGCAGCCATGCAGGAAAATATCAACTAAGTGCGACATTTTGAGGTCACTGTGGAGGTCCAAACGGAAGCTGTGTTACACAACAGAGACATGATGTCCAGACAGAGTGCAGCGTGGACTTTTAGAGCGTGCAACAGTCGCCCACACTCATCTGCTTGTGCAGATTTCTTTTGGGAAAAAAAAATAGGAGATACAAAATCCAATTTCTCTCAATATATTCCTGAAGTCAAAGGTTGATACGGTCTATTTTAATGCTTTATAGACTCCTGCACAATGAGCAGCAGGCACATTTTAATATGATGCTGATTCAAAGACGATGTGTTACTGGCTCTAATTGGGGCGCAGCTCGGTAAAATAATGGCGGAAATCAAAATACATTGAAGGGATGACGTAGTTTTGGGGGGAGCTGAGCACAGTCTCAAAAGGAGAGCGTCAGAAAAAAGTCACCCTATTGAAACATTAGACAGCAGGCAAGACAATTTTAAAACCATCTGCTCCTGCTTCTACAGGGATGCTGTTTGTAGTTCATCTATTCAGCTGCCCCCTATTGAATATGGTTCAAACTCAAGTTTGAATGCTTGTCTATACGCTACTGAATTAGTCGAGTTGTGTTTGTCTAGTTACATGTAGATCTCAAACTGCCATTTGCTGAACTCCTTGTGTGTGCAGTGATTTTCCTTCTATGGTTTTGCTGCCTGAGGCTTTTGGTACTGTGTCACTCCTCGTTCACACAGCAGATCTTATGTGCAGACAAGAATTAGAGCTTAAAAAAGACCAAAAACATCCCATTTATAGCTCCACTGACACACCATCTATATCCATTCATCCAACTGTTACCCGTTGCTTTAAACAGAATATAATCTCCAACCCTGATTGATAAGGTGTGTGTGTAATATCACAAAACTGGCGAATAAATAGGATGTTAACAATATTGATCTTGAGCGTAAATCCCACAGTCCTTTCAGGTGAAACTGATGTAACTGTGGGACAGAACCTATGTTTATAATCATGTCAGAGACCTTGTTGTTCTAATCACAGCGGGATCACGGTGTAATTAAAAGGGCTTAGAGTGACGTGCGCTGGCCCGAGGTAAACCCCGCCCTGACCTTATACAGACACAGATCGATGACTTGCGCGCACACGTCCCTCAGGTCGGTGCAGACGCGCAGCCGGTTGTGGATGAAGGCGCACAGCTCCTCGTTGCTGATGATGTCCCACACCCCGTCGCAGGCCAGCACCAGGAACTCGTCGCCCGGCGAGCGCTCCACCACGAACACCTCCGGCTCCGGGGACACCATCTGCTGGCAGGCCGCCCGGTTCTCCGCCCCCTTGTAGCCGAAGTCGCCCAGGGCCCGGGACACCGCCAGGGACCCGTTGATCCGCTGGAGGGACACCGAGCCGCCGGCGCCCTCGATGCGCTCCTTCTCCAGGGGGCTGTAGGGCTTGTGGTCCTCGGTGGAGAAGCAAACCTGGCCGGACCGGCACAGCACGGCCCGGGAGTCGCCGCAGTTGGCGAAGTAGATGTAGTAGGGCGAGATGAGGGAGGCCACCGCCGTGGTGCCGCCCCGCTCCCAGCCCTCCCGCCGGGCCACCGAGTGCAGGTGCTTGTCCGTTTGCAGGAAGCCCTCCACGATGGCCCCCTTCACCTTCTCAGGGTTGTCCTCTTGTCTGATTCCACCTGTGAGCACGCAGAGGGGCAAACCAATTAAGTTCAATTTGATTTCTATAGCGCCACATCACAACAACAGTTATCTCACAGCTTTCCCAACAGAGCAGGTCAGACCTACTCTGAAGTTAATTACAGAAACCCAACAATTCCCACCATGAGCAAGCACTAGGCGACACAGGGAAGGAAAAACTTCCTTTTAACGGGCATAAACCTGGAGCAGAACCATGACTCAGGGTGAGCGGCCATCTGCCTCAGCCCAACAATTCCCACCAATTCCAACCAAGAGCAAGCACTCGGCGACACAGGGAAGGAAAAACTTCCTTTTAACGGGCAGAGACCTGGAGCAGAACCATGGCTCAGGGTGAGCGGCCATCTGCCTCGGCCGGTTGGGGGTGAGGGGAGAGAGAGGGCAAGAGTAACACATAGACTACACAGACAACAAGTAACTCCACCACATCCGGAACAATCCATGAGTACCATCGTGAATAACCAGGTTATCATTAGATGATAAAACCGAGGTGGTTCCTGATTTGTTTTCGTGGTGACGATACCTGTTGTGAGGATCTGTCCCAGTAGGTGCTGGGAGCAGTACTGGGCCACGCTGCTGCCGGCGTGCCCGTCGAACACGGCGAAGAAGCTCCACTCGGCCAGCTCCCCGCCCAGCTGCGGCACGCAGTTGTGGAAGTCCTCCATGTTGGCCCTCCAGCCCTGCATGCTCCCCAGGGCGTAGGTCAGGCCCCAGCGGGCGCAGCCCTCCTCCGTCAGCTTGTCCAGCACCGGCCGGTCCAGGTAGGGGCTGGGCACCGCCTCCTCCCGCTCCCCCTCCGCGGGCTCCCCCTCCGCCGCCCCCCCGCGGCCCCCTTTGAAGAAGGAGCTGACCCTCTTCTCCGTCTCCTTCACCAGCTGCCGCACGAAGGCCGGCATCTCCACGCTGCCCTTCCTGGACGTCCTCATGGCTCTCATGCGTGGGGGGGGGCGGGTGGGGGATCGGCCTCTGTGGTCCTGGCTGGGACGGGGGGCTGGGATGTGGTTCTGGTTCTGGTTCTGGTTCTGGGCCTGTGCTGCGTCTGCGTAGCCCCGCGGCTCCAGGGCTCAGAGCATGGCCGCCTCAGCTGATGATGGATGTCCTCTGTCCTCCCTTCCCCTTCTCATCTTCTTCCTTTCCCTCCTCTCTCCGTCTCACTGATCAGCTTCCTTGTCCTCCGCTCATCCTTCCCCGGCTGCTTTGTTTGGGCTGTTTTTTTTCTCTCTCCGTGCGGCTGTGATTTCACCTTCTCCCTCGCTTTTTCATAGCGCTTCCCTCTTTCACCAGCTCTCCCCCGGCCTTGTTGTTTCCCTGGCCCTCGCCGTGATTGGCCGGCTATTTGTGTGCACCAATCCCGGCCCGGGCTGCACTGCCGCTGTCACGTCTGAGCTCCCTCTCTGTCAGCGTCCTCCTATCCGCGCCGCGGCCTCTCCCTTTGATGGTAATCTCAACCTTTGATCAGTCGGGATTATGGGCTTGTGGATTAAAGGACTGTCGGCCATTTAGTAACCGTGAAACGCAGGAGGCCGGTTTGTTCCCTTTAAAGTGATATTTCACCTCCCTTTTTTGCATTAAATGTGCTGATTTCGCACACTGTGAATTCTCTGGGATTCTCCTCCCTAATTAAGACCTGAAATCGAAACCATGTTTATAGGTCAAGATTCTCCTGTGCTTTTCCACTGTAATTATATCACGTGATTTATATGTGCCACATCTACACTATTTTCCTAACACTATTCACAAATATTAAAAAGCTGACCTGAAGCAAAAAAAAAAAATAAATACTGGTAACAAGCTTTACTACGACCTTATGCCACCATCAGTCAAACATTGTACAGCTGCTTTTTTATATTACAATAAGCAGATTTTATATTAAAAAAAATGATAATCTACCATAACATGGCTTACATACAGCTGCTTTGTTTGGTAACATTCCCAGAAAAACGTCTTAAATCTGGCAAACCAGCCGGGGTGAGATTGCATCACCAGTCTGCACTTTGCCACATCATTTTGATTAAGGCTCAGAGTCTACTCCGGTTATGATGCCGTGACCACATGACAGACCTGGATGATCTGGTTATTTATTTATTTTTGCACTATAACCCATGACGATACTTGTCACGGAGGCCAACAGAAAGAGGAAAAAGTATAGCAACATGTGTTCAAAGAATTAGAACAGAGGCAAAAAAAAAGTAAGTGGTAAAAACCAGCTGAGAGGACATTCTCCATCTGATTAAGTTATTTAGTGACTTGTATGTTTAGGGATGAAAATATTACCTAAAGGAGGCAGAGTCTTAGTGACATCTTCCCTAAATTGAGGACTGATTTGAGTAAAACGTTTTCCCAATGCAAAATGGTTTGTGGTTTTGATTTCTCCATTATATGCACTACATAGCATCGATATTTCCAGGGAATCTGGATCCATTTTTTTTAGGCAAAGGTCACTGCTGAATGTTGGAAATTGGATTCTCGTGACCCCCAGTCCCTCAGGCAGCGCCACATTAAAACCAGAAATGATTCTGTCCCGGAAATAACTGCACGAGTTCAGAAAACACTTTCAGAAAACCGATGTGAGTGACCACAGCTGACCCTCCGAAAAAGCAGACCAGAGCTCTTTAAGGCAAACAGGACGTGAACACGGTCCAAAAATACTACAACCCCAATTTAAAAAGGGAGAAATTTGGGCCATCACATCTTCTGGACTAAAGAGTAGAGGGGTCTAGTTAACCTTCAACTTTGATGGTGTTGTACAGTGCTTGTGTTTTTCAGTAAGACAAGAATAACCCATATATGGCGTCCATTACAACAGCACGGCCTCATGGGAGCCCAGGGGCCTTAAGTACAGACCTACTTAAAATATGTAATCTATTATGAGTAAAAAAAATATTAACAAGGCTGTTGAGTAGTTAGAATATTCTATTGATTAAGAATATGACGAAGTCTTCTCCCAAGGCAGCAGGAACTGGTTTCAGTTTGTTTAAGTTTGCCAAACGTATCATATTTGATTCATACGGTTTCTGAAATGTTTTGCGTCTGACAACTTTTGCATCATTTAATGGTAAAAACTTTGCTCAAATTGTACACAATCAGATACACCTGATAACAGGGGGCAGAAGACTACACAAAAAATAATCTTGACTTATCGCATAGTAATAAATGATTAATATTAAAAATGTATTTCTGTTTTTTCTTTTTACATATTTTGTTAAAAGGCCAAATAAAGACTTCGAAACAAAAAAAAAAGTAATTTTCTGTTTTGTTTTTTTCTTGGATCAGGCTTTAAAGGGTTAATCTTAAGAAGTGGGTCAGTTCTGCAGTTGTTTAAATGGCCATGTATTTTAGGGATGTGAATAACTGCGAGGAGATTTGTCGAAGCAATGAGCCAGACTAATAAAATGTTAATGATGTCCCCAGTGGGCCGAAACACTGAACGCACAAATGATGAGCTGTGTTTGGCTTCGGGCTCTTTTGGGGGTGATTCTTATCAGAAACAACTCCAAAGGGGGTGAAAACATATTCTCAGGTAATGTACCTAACATTGAAAAAATCCCCATATTTGTTAGTTGCGTTTTATTTGCAAAGTACTCTGTTTTTGAGTCAAGCTCCGTTGGAAATTCATTCGTTTGTCCCGATTTCTGCAGCATAGAGCTGGAAAAGATGGCAGCCGACTGCTGGTGGGCACTGATTGGTCAAACATTTTACAGTAAAAGCGTCTCCTAACTTGTGGCCTCCGTGAGCCGGTTGGCCACCAAGTGGTCGAGGAAGCATGAGAGTCTCAAAACCCAGGGGACACGTACATGCTGAAGTCTCAAGTTCCCAATTTCAGCCTGTGTGTGTGTGTGTGTGTGTGTGTGTATTCACACATGGCGTATCCAATACAGGATAAAATTAGGCCGGGCAGGCCATATATTGCTGACGGAGCTGGGAGGCCAAAAAAAGCCCAGGGTGCAGGCCAACGGGGGGAAAGCGGCAGGAAAAGAGGGGAGCCAGCCGGACCACCGATGAAATGGCCACCAAACGTAAGAAAATAAAGAGAGTCGGCTCAAAGTAAGACAAATCCGAACACCTGTCAGGTGGAGGGGAATAAAAATAAGAGAGTTTTTCCTCTTTTTTCCCCTCTGCTGGACAGGTGTGAGCACAGACAGGACGGAAAACCGAACACTGAGCTCAGCGTGGCGTTTACTTGTTGGCCAGATGAGCAGATTAGAACTCATCTCTAAATGAGACCTTTTTGTGGATTGAACGTTGGGTCTTTTATCTTTTTAAAATGATCTCAGAAGAGAGAATTGTTCTGTAATATCCTATCAGCATCTGGAGTTAGTATCAGTCAGTTACACAAACACATCAGTGGGGAAATGAAGCTAAAGGGACATAAGAAACCCTGAAAATGTTAATTTACATATTTCTTTGTAAATTATTAATAAGAAGCCTATTACTGAGTTGAGGGAGCATATATATAGCTGCAAATGTCTTTGTATTTGTTTGTGTTTTACCTTTAAGATACCAGACACTTATCCTGAGTTGAACTGAACACTATATGTTTCTAAAGATTATGAGTATGTGATTACTTACGTGTTTTATTTTATTCAGAACATTACACGGCACATTATTAAGGCAGTATAGATAAATGAGTCATTCAGGGAAGTCTTTCTCTCCTGTGAAGATCTGCTTTATGGCAAACAAATCCAAGTAAAGCTGTTTCATAGCTTCACATGGTGTATTTGTGGTTGTTTCCTCCTTCTATAATTTCCATTTTTTCTGCTTGTAATTTGACCTTCCCTTTAGTTAAAACAGATTGAGATAACTACACTGAACTGAAAGTTACAGTGAAAAGACATTTTCTGAGAGTGAAGGCCGAACCTGAACTCTTCTTAGCTGTGATTTGGTTTAATGAGATGATAATGAAATGAGATTAATCAAAAACTGAAATCAGAGTTTAGTCAATTTAGTCTTTTTAAATTACAATGTGAGTATCTGTAGCACCTTCTTTACTTTACTCTACTAACCTCTCCTGACCGTCCTTTGTGCCATCATTAGCAACAGTATGAAACACAGTCTTATAGCAAAGTGATGCAGGAAACCTGTTTTTTTTTAGGATTAAAGCACCTGAGCTGAGCATTACTGGGTACTGACATTGTTTCACGTGCTTACGTCTCTCTTTCCTCCATCGCTCTCGGTGTTTGTGACCGTTCCTTGCAGTTGTGGATCTGGTGTACTGGAGGAACCTGAGGAGGACGGGGGTGGTGTTCACCGGGCTGGTGATCGGCCTCACCAGCATCTTCCAGCTGAGCGCCATCACCGTGCTCTCCCACGTGTGCCTGGGCCTGATGTGCATCACCTTCCCGCTGCGCCTCTACTACAAGCTGCTGGAGCTGCTGCGCTGGAACCCCGGCGTCCACCCGTTTCAGTGAGTCCACGAGTGTTTATTTTAACAAAAACACACTCAAAAGAGTTATTAAAAAGAGTGGATGACAGGACAGGGTTCAAAACGAGGCTGTGGCAAAACTATGATCAAAGTAGCAAAGCAAGATAAACATGGCTGTGGCAAAACTATGATAAAGGTATCAAAGAAAGAGTAAACAAGGCTATGGCAAGATTAACAAAACTGTGGTAAAACATGGCTGTGACAAAAATGTGGCTATGGTACAAAACAAGACTATGGCAGTAAAGTAAACAAGGCTGTGACAAAAATCAAACCTGACATGGGGTGACGAAAACAGACAGACGAAAACGCACTGGCACAGGACATGGGAAACGAGGACTATTTAAACACATGAGGGAGGGGAACCCCAGGTGTACACAATAGGTAATCAACACATGACAACACACCAGACATTCCCCCAGACGTGACAATGAGCCTGTTCCCCCCTCTCTGGATCACCAACTTTACCCCACCTCTCTAAGCCCATGGAGGTGTCACAGGAAGTCCAGTGTGATGGATGCTGTCCTTCAAATAGCCCTATGTGTGTGTGTGTGTGTGTGTGTGTGTGTGTGTGTGTGTGTGTGTGT